TTATTAATTTAATATCAAAAAGTTAAGATAATTATAACTTAGTTTCACTTTTAGTTAGAAAAACTAAAGAATTAAACAATCATTATATAACACATTCAAAATGGTTTCAAGTTTTTTTAAAAAACTAAAGAATTTCACAACCACTATAGATATAAATATTTCAAATAAATCAATTATTGTAAATATTTCATTCACTAATTAATTAGGATCTTTGATGTTTGGATTAATAAAAGAAGTTTAAGTGTTAAATTGCAATACTAGGAGAATAATCGAGTTTGGTATCCTATCCATTGCATTGCCTTTGGTTCGTAAGTTTGGTATCATTTGTTCAACATTTTTTCTAGTAAAGTAAGTTTAACACTTAAACTTCTTATTATTAATTTAATATCAAAAAGTTAAGATAATTATAACTTTTAGAAAAACTAAAGAATTAAGCAATCATTATTATATATATTAACACATTCAAAATGGTTTCAATTTTTTTTTAAAACTAAAGAATTTCACAACCACTATAGATATAAATATTTCAAATAAATCAATTATTGTAAATTTTACTCACTAATTAATTATGATCTTTGATGTTTGGATTAATAAAAGAAGTTTAAGTGTTAAATTGCAATACTAGGAAAATAACCGAGCTTGGTATCCTATCCATTGCATTGCCTTTGGTTCGTAAGTTTGGTATCATTTGTTCAACATTTTTTCTAGTAAATATATTTTAACAAGTAAATTTCTTAATATTAATTTAATATCAAAAAGTTAGTGTATTTATAACTTAGTTTAAATTTTAGAAAAACTAAAGAATTAAACAATCATTATATAGATAATTAACACATTAGATCTGAAAATGGTTTCAAGTTTAAAAAACTAAAGAATTTCACAACCACTATAGATATAAATATTCCAAATAAAACAATTTTTGTAAATTTTGATCACTAATTACTTATGATCTTTGATATTTGGATTAATAAAAGAAGTTTAAGTGTTAAATTGCAATACTAGGAAAATAACCGAGCTTGGTATCTTATCCATTGTATTGCCTTTGGTTCGTAAGTTTGGTATCATTTGTTCAACTTTTTTTTAAGTAAAATAACTTTAATACTTAAATTTCTTAATATTAATTGAATATCAAAAAGTTGAGATATTTATAACTTAGTTTCACTTTTAGAAAAACTAAAGAATTAAACAATCACTATATATATAAAAAAATACTCCAAATAAATTATTATTTTACTCACTAATTAAATATGATCTTAGATGTTTGGATTAATAAAATAAACTTAAATTGTAATACTTAGAAAAATAACCGATCTTGGTATCATCCTATCCATTGCATCGGCTTTTGTTCTTAGGTTTGTTATCATTTGTTCAACATTTTTTTAAGTAAAATAATTTTAACACTTAAATTTGTTAATAATAATGTGATAACATCCTACAATTTGATAAAAAAAATTTTAAGTTAATTTCACTTTAACACAACTACATAATTTCACATGTAATATTATATATATAATACTCCAAATTAATTAAGTATTGCAGTTTAACTCACTGATTAAATATTTTCTTATATGTTTGGATTAGTAAAAAATATTTAAGTGTTAAATTGCAATACGATGAAATAACAGAGTTTGGTATTATATCCATTTCATCGCCTAATTTTAATCTTTTCAAGTAATAATTCTTTAGTTTTTGAAATCACTTGTGAAATTCTTTAGTTTTTTTTTTAAATATAAAATTCTCATTTTTATTATTAAATTAAGATTAAGAAAGAAATGTCTTAATATTAATTTATCATTTCTTAATGAAAACTAAAACTACAATTTTTGAAGTTAAGTAGTTCTAAGACTTAAAAGTTTTAATATTGAATTTGATAACATAAAAGAAAAGATTAAGTTAGTTTCGCTTTAGTTAAATTGTAAATACTATGAAAATAATCGAATTAGGTACTTTTTTTTAACAATTTTTTTTAAAAAAATTAGTTCATGTGCAAAAATTGAATCTTGTCTCTTGTCTTTTGTTGTTCAGCTCTTCGTTTGACTGAGCTCTAAACTTGAATCTATGTGAAACAATCTCGTTGCAGGTTCGCCTGCAAAAATTAATCTGCAAGTGATAGAGCTTCGAGCACTGAGAAGAGGTTTTTAAGGACATTTCAGTGATAACACAAATAATATACATATCATTCATCATCCGATGGCAAAGTCGGGCTTTTCGAGCAGCTTTCTTGCTTGTGAAGTTCCAACATCCTTTTCTCTGGGTTACAAAGACCTGCACCGGTTACACATTTATTCCTCAAAACTTATGATCAAATGGTTTTCTTTGTTTGTTATGCTATTGAATTGAAAAACAGAACCGCCTCAAGTGTTAATCATATTACTACTATAGAAACTGTAGGAAATATAAACAGAACCTGAGCATTTAGGGATGTCCCAAACAGCAACAGAGGAAGGCGAGCATTCTGGTTCACAAAGTGTGTGATGGTTCTCGTGGTTGACATTCATTGCCAGCATCCACGCACCTATTGTTACGTCCTCGTTGTTAAACATCCTGAAACTGCAGTTGCACACAAAGTTTTATTTCTTTACTAAGCAAAACAGACACTATGATCTTTTAGTCAAGTTATACAAAACAGAACATGCCTGTTGTTCTTGAGGGCAACCAAACTTGCTGCCACATCAGCAGAGAGAGCATAAATCGGGCCATAAGCATGAAGAAAATACTCTTTTCCCAGCAGATGAGACAATGGTTCATACCTGCAATTTTCCAATTATTGATCCCACCAAGCATACATTAGTTCTCAGTTTTGTACTTGCCTTCTTCATGTTAAGATCTGTGTATTAACTTTTCGTCCTTACCATTTGAGCTTAGGATCTGTGAAAACTGGACCCTTTTTCAAGCATCCTAGGTATGTCTGAGAGTGACTCCGCTCTTTCGCCAATAGCAGAGAGAGTCGATCTGTGGGAAAATATAACATTAAACTACAGAAGTCCATACAAAGTCCCAAAAACAAATTTCTCCAGAAGACATGAAAGAACATAAGAGATAATCACCAGGCCTCAAGTATATATCATCGTCAGCTTTGACATAGAATTCAGAATCATAAAGCGCGTATGCAGCTTTAAAGAAAGCCAAACTATTCAACAAAGAAAAAATAAAACAACCAAAGATTAGACTCTTTTGAATCATGTTGTGTTAGATAAGATCTGAAAAAAGAAAAGAAGCAAATCACTTTTACTAACGTTTTGTAAGGTAGCTTACTGTACTCCTCTTCGATATCTAGCAGTACAAAGTCATCATACTCTGCGATTTCCCTTCTGAGCTCAGCCATTTTCTCCTCGTTTTTCGTTTTCCCTATCATAAACCTGATGGCTAATCCCGTAGATTCTTCCAAGCTGCATATGGCAGAGTCTTACTCAGTGAAAAAGCAAACACACAAGCATATCCATCTAAATCGTGAAAGCATTCAAGAATTAATGTACTACAGCAAACCAAGAATCCATTAAGTTGATCAAACTCTAGTTTCTTGAACCTGGTGAGACTTTGGGAATCAAAGTTCACTAATCAGCACCACCTGATCAATACCATAACCAAGTTCCTCAATGCTTTAACTTCAATGTATCAAGTAAGATCCACATAAATCTCTTTAAACTCTAAGATTTGCTAATTAAAATCCAGATCAAATCAATTCTAAGTGATGCTATGATTCCACATACCCCCTGAAGCTATCAATTCAAACAGATACTCACAAGAACAATGACACTGAGAATTAAAAAAAATCAATCAGTACCGTCGAAGTCCATCTGGATCTGACGGCATCCATGTCTTCCTAAGTGCTCGTCTCCGGCCAGCAGATCCGAATCCGGTTTGAATACCAACGAATCCCATAACCTTATGCCTTTTCTCTTCGCCACCAACAACGCCGTTACTGTTCCCGGTGACGTCCCAGACGACTCGCACCGTCTTCGGAGGACTGTTCGTCAAGCAATTGCGGCCGGTTAATCGGAGACCCGGCAAAAGAATCACGGCGAGACCGAAAGTGAAACCGGCGATCCCGATAGCTAGGGAAGTTAATACGAGGAGAGCCGTTGATCGGCGCGTGGCGAGTGATGAACGCGCGTGGAATAGTTTACGAGGAGAATGCATTGTATGGTCTCCGTCAAGCAAGCTCGACCGTCGTTAATGGCGTCACGGGTTTGCGTTTTTGGTTTTTTTTCCCTCCGATCCGGTGGATCCAATTTTTCGGATCCGGTCACATATTTATACTAATACTAACTTGAGTTCATTATGATATTTACTACGTGTTTTGTGTTGGAGGATTGAGAATTAGAGATAGGTTCTTAATTAATTTTTTGAATTAGAGATGAACTTTTTATTTTATTTTTAATGTTACGGAAAAAGCATTTATAAACATTAACGCCAATTAGGCTACGTTAATTTGACTAAATATATCGATTATTAAATGACTTCACATCAATGCTGTCTATGAATTTCTCTTTTTAGATTCAAACATAGATTTGATTAAACTTAAATGAGCCATTGAGTACGTTATCCCAATTTAATCTCTTTTAAATCTTTAAAAAAAACAATTTGATTCAAGACAGATCTCTAGAAATTTTCATGAAAATCCGACATACATTCATGTCTTTTCATATATTATCTTAAAATCGTTAATGATAGATGATTGCTTCAATGCTAAGGCTCAAGACACAAAAGCTACTCAACTCTTCTAATTTTAGGTAGAAGCAAGAAGAAATTAATCAACACAAAACAACATCTCACCATCATGAACATCAAAACGGCGACAAGTGCATGAACATATCTGTTAAACGGGACGTTGTTCTCACCTTAATCAAACTACACGTCGTCTTGATCTATGATTGTGTAAAGATTAGTGGCTATTGTCACTTTCTAACCAATCTGATTAAGACACGTCATGATAAAGCTCGTCTCATCACAGCTTCTCTTTCATCAAAGTGAAAGGGGAAAAGAAAAACGTCAATGGCGTCGTCGTTGTGTCATCATTGCTATTTTAATAACCCAATCACTGTCACTCCCTTTTCTAACACTAATAAACTCCATCACTCTTCTTCTCAATCTTACAGACGAACCTCTCTTCGTGCAAATCGACGATCCTTCTCTATCTCTGCAACTATGGCTTCATCTACTAACAAGGTAATCGATTTCGTCACTATGAACCCTATCGATCCTTTTATTTATTAGTCTCCATTGTTTAATCCGAGGTTTCTCTAGGTTTTAATTCCCGTTGCGCATGGTACGGAACCGTTTGAAGCGGTGGTGATGATCGATGTTCTGCGTCGAGGCGGGGCGGATGTGACGGTGGCGTCTGTCGAGAATCAGGTCGGCGTTGATGCATGCCATGGAATCAAGATGGTCGCCGATACTCTTCTCTCTGAGATTACTGACTCCGTTTTCGACCTTATTATGCTCCCTGTACGTCTCTGATCTCTCCACCAATCTCATCAAGATGATCCCTTTTTACTATCTTGTGCCTACATTAGCATATGGTTGCAGAATTGAAGCTAAACGCTATGCAATTGAAGAAAGTTATACTCTTTCTTGAAATGCTATAAGCAATTATTCGATGTATCGATTTCATATATGATTGCAATATAGTACTTCATAATTTGGTTGCTTATGTTCTTTATGATTGGTTAAGGGAGGACTTCCCGGCGGTGAGACTCTTAAGAACTGTAAACCTTTAGAGAATATGGTGAAGAAACAAGATACTGAGGGACGACTTAACGCTGCTGTCTGTTGTGCGCCGGCATTAGCGCTTGGTACTTGGGGTCTGCTAGAGGGTAAAAAAGTATGTACGTAGTGATCAGTGTTCTAGATGTTTTCTTTCTTTTGAGTTTGTATTTGGTATGTAGATCATAACATATGTTCCTTTCAGGCAACATGTTACCCGGTTTTTATGGAGAAACTGGCAACTTGTGCAACAGCTGTTGAGTCAAGAGTTGAAATAGATGGGAAGATAGTGACCAGTAGAGGGCCTGGAACCACCATGGAGTTCTCTGTCACGCTTGTGGATCAACTTCTTGGGAAAGAGAAAGCTGTTGAAGTCTCAGGCCCCTTAGTATGTCTTGTCCCTGCCTCTTTTGTCAACCTCAATTTGATCTCCAAATTATAGACTGAGGGGAGCACTTATTTAATTTGATACTCTTTAAAAAGACACCCTAGTATTGTCAGAGCCCCCATCTGTTCATGTAAAGTAAAAATAACACTTTTTCCACCTCACTAATATTATGATTTCCTTAAAGCCTAGGTCAGCATTCTTCCCCATGTCCAGTGATCATTTGACTGTTCTTGAGAGATTACAGACAAATGAAAGCTTATAGGATACAGGAAAATTTAGTTTTCTACAAAGACACAACCATTCCTTGGTAGCATAGTCTTCATTCCATGGTAACCTCTTAGTCTTTCTCCCTCCCCTTTGCATATCAGGTGATGCGTCCCAACCCTGGTGATGAGTATACAATTACTGAGCTTAACCAAGTCAGCTGGTCGTCCAACGGTACCCCAAAGGTAACTTTCAATTGCCTATAAGGCTATAAACTTGGGTTTTATACCCTTAACATTTGCAGATGACTTTTATTTTATGATTGATTAGATTTGTAATGTGAGAGAGATATATATATATAATTTGACATCAGGTGGTTATGTAATGAATATCAAATTTATTTTTTTCTTTTTAAAAGGCCTGACTGGAAAAACTGTTCACACTTGCTTTGATGAGCTCGTGCGTCTGTCTTAATTAATCTTCCAACACTGAGAGTTCATGGTTATCCTTTTCAGATTCTTGTACCCATTGCCAATGGCTCGGAGGAGATGGAAGCTGTTGCTATCATTGATGTCCTGAGGCGGGCAAAAGCAGATGTCGTTGTTGCTGCGCTTGGCAACAGTTTGGAAGTTGTCGCATCTCGTAAAGTCAAGCTAGTGGCAGATGTGCTTCTCGATGAGGCTGAAAAGAATTCATACGATCTGATTGTGTTGCCTGTGAGTGCTAACTTTTCAATTGACAAAAGTTTATAGTGTCAAGCAAGTTGAATTTATTGACAGCCAATAATATGAACTTCTCTTTTACTTCATAGGGTGGTCTCGGTGGTGCTGAAGCATTTGCAAGTTCAGAGAAGCTAGTAAGTATGTTGAAGAAGCAGGCAGAATCAAACAAACCGTATGGAGCAATTTGTGCCTCTCCTGCTCTGGTTTTTGAGCCGCATGGTTTACTCAAGGTACAAACAACACGAGAGAAATCACGATAGCATACACATTGTAGAGACTCAGATGCGTAGGATCATTATTTTTCCGATGCCATGGAATATTCTGTAATCAACCTATTATTCTCACTCTTATTACTAAGGGAAGAGTCACAAGTTTATGGGTGTTTGTACAGGGTAAGAAGGCAACAGCGTTCCCAGCAATGTGCAGCAAACTGACGGACCAGAGTCACATCGAGCATAGAGTTTTGGTTGACGGCAATCTCATAACGAGCAGGGGTCCAGGAACCTCATTGGAGTTTGCACTCGCAATTGTAGAAAAGTTTTACGGGCGCGAGAAAGGACTTCAGCTTGCAAAGGCAACACTTGTGTAAACTCTTGCGTATCTTAGGTAAGAGTGACCTTAATAAGAAAGAAGGCTTTAGTATCAAAATATCAATGAGTGAACCTTTGTTGTGGTGAGCTTTGTACGAGTATGATGCTTAATAATGTCTTATAAATAAATGAGGTTACTCTGTGTTCATCAGAATGTTTTTTTTTCTTTACATTGCGAAGTTTAGAATATAAGAAATGCTGACCAAAAAAAAGAATATAAGAAAGTAAATTGTTCTTTTAAAATTACAAAACAAATTGAATTATATCTGCAGATCATTGTTATTAACCTACCTTCTTGTTCTGTAACATCTGTACCATAAGATGAAGAATCCTAGGACTCTGTACCCGACGATGAAACTTGCCATGATACCAAGATTGCTCCATTTCTGAGACTCCTTGAGGTCTTGTTGTTTTAAGAACACATCTCCTCGATACTCGTTGATCATCAGGCATTCAAATGGATACTTGAAGAGGCTGAGATAATGCATGAACTCCCAGTAAACCGGGATCCTCTCCTTTGTGATGAAGTACCCAGAAAAGAGGAAGAAAGATCCCATGAGACCTGAGATTACTGATGTCCCCATTATGAAGTTTGGGACAAGAGCACTGAAACATGCAACAAAGGAGTTTGACATCAGAAGAACAATCCATATCACCAATGAGAAGTAGAAGAACCCATCTAGCTCTCGTCTGAGACCGACCAGCCAATAAACCGGAGTAGCAAAGAGCATGCTTATGATCAACAGGAAGGGAATGAAAATGAGGGTATCTGCTAAAACGTAAGACAAAACTCTGTAAGCTCTTCTCGATGTCTCTCTCATTAGGATTCTCCGGTCTTGCAAGAAAATAGGAAGTCCCTCTGTTGTGGAAGATAGCAGGAAAGTGAGGGTAAAGGCAAAGAACCCTGTTCGCAAGACTTTTGCTTCTTGCTTTTGATTCCCCACGTTCAAGTAAATCGAACCGAGTATTAGACCGGCTATGGAGGCTTGTAAAGCTCTAGTTGTGAACAATTGCTTAGTTCTGAAGATGTTCTTGAAAGATCTTTGCCCAAGTATCTGAACTTCTTCTAACACTGAGTTGCTGTGAGAATCAGATTGTTGAAAATCTCCTCTTGCATTAATATAGCAACTCTTCCATGTTTTGCTATGACCAAAACATGAGATTTCTCTGCAACTCTGGGTTCTGATCGGTTCAAGACTCCCTGCAATATCAATTGCATACTCCAAGACATTTACACGCCGAGGAATCTGGTGACCGGAGAACTTAATCTTCTGATGAAGGCTATTAACCGATCCGTTTTGAACAACCAGCCCATTAGAGAGCAACACTATCCGGTCTATCTGCTCAAGTATTCGAAAGCCAGGCTGGTGAATCGTCAGAACAATGGTTTTACCTTGTTTAACCGTCATATCTTTGAGAAGCATCACAACTTGAAGAGCGGACGCTGAATCCAAACCGGAGGTTGGCTCATCAATCAATATAACATTTGGATCATGAACAAGTTCAACTCCAATGGAAACCCGTCTTCTCTCTCCTCCAGAGATTCCAGACCTTGATCCTTGACCAATCCTTGAATCCGCAACATGTTCAAGACCGAGTTCTTGAATCAGCCTCGTCACCTTTGCAGCCGCTTCTTTCCTCTTAGTCTTCAGCCTTAGGAGCGCGCTGTATGTCAGTGTTTCTTGCACAGTAAGAAACGGAAACAGAGCATCTTCTTGTGGCACAAACCCTGAAACCCTCCTGTACTCAGAACCATCCATAGGCCTACCATTGACAAGCACCTGACCTGAAACTTTCCCATGAGAAACTTTTCCAGCGAGAATCTCCAGCAACGTGGTTTTTCCAGCCCCACTAGGACCGGCGATGGCAGTGATCTCTGCGGATCTTGCATCGCAAGAAACATCCTTCAAAATAACTTTTTCTTCCTTGTCATTCAACAAACCACATAAATTAGAAAGCTTTGGAGTGTTTCCGCCTAACCGATAAGATAGATGATTGGTTTCTAGTCTATATGAGATATTCCGGGCACCGGGAATAGGAGCTTTCACCGGCAATTCCATCTAAGAGAGAAAGAGGAGCAAAGAAAGCATCAAACTTTGAGAGTTAGAGTAATCAAGAAAATGAGCAAAGAGTGAGATTAAGTGAAGAATAAATGGTAGAGAAGATGAACTAACACACCAAACTCTTAAGGAACCTCTCTCGTTTATATTATTCAAACATTCAGAAAGCTTAAAGACTTTAATAGCTTTCTCTCGTCTCCCTTCCATGAAAACCGAAAAGCATTTGACTATGTCTAAATATATCAAAGATATTTATAATTCCAAGCTTTAATATGCTATACTAATTTTGTATGACCAAAAAAAAAAAAAATTCTTAATTCTTAAATAATATTTGATTTTCAGATGAATTAATAGGAATGAGCCATGTTTTCTTATTTTAAAAAAAAACAATCGAATAAATTTGGTGAAAGTAAAAAAAAAAAAAAAGAGATTATAAGAAATTAAAATATTTTGTATCTTTCTTATATTGGGTTTGGGTTTAAGAATTGAGAAAAGCAAAATAAAAAAAAAGAGTAAGTTAGAAAGAGATTGGTTTCTTCTGGAGAATCTCAAATTTGGGTGAGCTGAAATATTGACTGTGAAATGTTTTTGCATAAGCTTTGTTGGTGAACTTGTTTTATCTAATTTTATTTTAGTTTTTCTAATAAAGAGAGGTAACCCTGTTTGGTGGTTATATGCATTACCTGCAAATTTAACTAACGTGTTTCGGACTTCTTTGCTTGCCATTTAGAGGTTTCACGTACGGGAAACTCGGAACAATCTCCTAAGGTTTCCACCTTTCACAATGTGTTAATTTGTTAGATTATTTAAGCCTTTTAGGATACTAATAAGAAAGAAAATAAATGTTTGCAGCTGGTTAAATCTAAACATATTATGAAAGGTGTATGTTGTTAGGTGGACGTTCGGATCGGTTTGGGTTGAAAATTTGGCTTCTTTGGTTTTTGGGTTTCAAAAAGGTTATGATGAATAAAACCGAATTAAAAGATCTCTAAAAAGAAGAATAAGAAGGAGTTTTTGTTTAACATATATTATTCTTACGAAACTTTTTCAAAATTTTCCAAGATCTTTCAATTCTAAAAAGCTATGCATGGAATTGTAGATCAATAAAATTTCATCTAGTCTACTAACAAACTATTAATCTTGAACATCAAATATTTGAAATAGATAATTAAATTAGAAAAAAATTCATCTGTATCTTCCAATTTCACATAAAATGTTATATAATGGGCTAATGGCTGTGATTATTTGCATCTAATTATCACGTACGGCTACCACCATATATATATCCTCAAGATGGGGTGCTTCTTTGATTTTTTCAAGTCTTTATACATGGGTGGTGGCTTCATTGGACATACAAATATATAATTACGACTCGTTCTAGTAATTAGTTCCTTTGTTGTTCACTACCGATCGAGATCACCAGAGAAAGCTTTGTGCTTTTGGTTGATCTTATACAGTATATGATTTTCAACCTTCCCTATAATATATTCATTCACATGGAGGTTAGATGGGTTCTTCCTGATCCTACATGGATGAGAAGAACAAAGACTATGGAGGTATGTTGATTAATTTACACTTGATATATAATTATGCATTGTTGAAATTTGCAAGTGACACCAATATTTGATCTCTCGTCAGAGATTAATTAGTCTTATTGATGGGGTTCTTGAATGACTCTTTTCAGGAGAACCTTTCATTAATGGAAAGGCTGTTCCATATGACCCAAAGTATCATATGAGCAGTGGATAAGGAACAATGCTAGAGGTGGTAGAACCTATTTCAGAGTAGCTGGTGCTAGAAAACTAGCTCAGCTGGTAGAAACAAATGCAGCAGCCTTACCCAACAACATAGGGATCAGTACCATGGTTAAGTAGTTGAACTGCCTTGGGTTTTTCATGTATAGGAGCTTTTCAATACGGAACTAAAACTATTGCTGTCAGTGTTCTTTAGTTTGTCACTCTGCTTTGCAACAGAGAGACTGACAGTTAAAGTCTAACTAACGTAGCACTTGATCTATTTCGAACACTTTATTTCAGTATTTAGTGGCACAAGAAGTAAAGAGACAGCTCTAAAAACTAGAATTGAAGAGAGTTAATCAAAATCCATTGAACTCATGGCATAAAGACCAAATCTCAATAAAACATCAGTTCCTCGTTGGTTCTTGGCAGCTTGGATCTGATCAGCAAGTGAGATGTCCCCTCTTGTTCTCTCTTTTCTTATCACTTCCAGGTCCAGTTTCTCCAGTTTAGCTGCAACAGAAACTACCCTATCTGTTCCAATAGCGATTTTACCAAGACTTGTTTTCTTCTTCCGAATCTGGAAAGTCATGTATTTAAACCAAAGAATCATCAAGTCGTTTTCTAGTTTTGTAAGAGACATCAACGGAGTAGTAGTTTTTCTTTTTACCTTTGTTAGTCTCTTCTTCAGTTTAGAACGTGAAGCACTGGTTGGATTCTCCCTCTTCTGTCTTGGCTTTCGAATCTTTCCTTCTCGCCTGTCTTTTTCTTCACGTTCTTTCTTTCTTTCTGCAACTCTCCTCATCTTCTCAGTCCTGGCTTGCGCAGCTTGTTTTGCTATCATCTTGGTTTGTTGCTTTGCTTTTGCTTTCTCTTCAGCTAACTGAAGCTGCTCAGATGAAAACTCTTGTTTAAGTCTTTGGTAACTGTCCCACTCGAGTTCTACTTCACCACTTCCACCTTTTCTTGCAGCTTCTGCAATGTTTTCTGACCATGATGACATGAACTGCTCCTTTAATTGCTTAGATCTTGACCGTTCTGCCCAAACTTTTTTCACTGAAGCTCTTATCTTCTCCTTGGTTTCATCACTGCAAGAGACAAACTTAGCTTATATATGCTTCTAACTTGAATGTGGTGTATCTACACTTCATAAGTTCACAAAGCTACCTGTGCGGTTGTTGATGGTCAGACATCTTCTTGCGAACCTGAAAAATATTGAAGAGAAACAAAAAGCTTTAGACTTATTTCACCTATGCAGTAACGACATGCGAGTTTGGCTTTGTTTCTTTCACATCACATGGTTCTTCTCAGAGTAAACAATAGAAGATTTACACAACAAAATGTCCCTGAATTGTATTGAATCTTACTTGACTTCACCTTGGGGTTTCTCAAAGCTTCGATTGTTCCCTGCTTGATTCGTCTTCGAGTATCTGTTAAGATATTGCATCAAACTCACCACCCAAAGCCTCAAGGAGAATAAAAAAAAAAACTCTTCTTTTTTTTTGTTTTCTCTACCTTCAGTGTGTTTCCTTCCTTTGTTCCATGGCACCTTCCCTTTATTTGCTAATCCAATCTTTCTTCTCCTCTCCTCTTCTTTAATAACCTTCCTATCACTCTCACTATCAGCTTCAGTATCTTTATCCTTAGCTCTCACCTCGAAATGACTTGGAATGACTTCTTTGCTATGAATCTCAAACACATTGCAAAATGATGAACCTACAGATTTCAACTCAAATCGTCTGATGGAATTCAAAGAAGCAAGTGAATTGGATATTCTCGAAAAGATAGGTTCTTTGAGATTCCAATAAATCGCAGTTGGGAACCAACAAGCGCATCGGATTGGAGCACGAATCGATTGAAATGGGTATTTCATCTCCATCGACACACCTCTGCCAAAAATAGTATCTCAACGATTAATCAATGAAACCACAAACCCATCACCAAATTCAAAGTGATTTCGTAGCTTAATTCAAATCATGAGATGAAATGAAAAAGCTTGAGAAAGGAGAAGCACTCACAAATGCTGCGTCATTCCGGCACGGAGATGAAACCGGAGACAAAAATTTTAAAATAAAGTTCTGAAATTTCTCCGGCCAATTATTTTCGTTTTCGCAGACGCTAAAGTACCTTTCCGGCTAGAGCCATTGATGAAGAGGAGAGAGAGAGAGAGCGGGAGTAAACCAAACAGATAAGGAAGATGAAGGATTAAGGAACATTAGTGGGCAATCAATGGGCCTTAACTGATTGGGCCTTAATGAAGCCCAATATTGTCTATAAATGACCATATCTTCCCTCTTCTCTTATTTATCTCGCCGACTTTTATTTTCTCCTCAGATTATTATTTTTTCCTCTTCTTCGTGTACCGCTCTCTCAAACTCGGACTAGGGTTAAGGATTTTAGGCGACCATGGATATGTTGAAGAAACGAAAGCTCGATGATAATGGAATCGGGATGCTAAACGACGGTGTCATCGGCGCTGTTTCGTCTCGATTGATGCCACAAGACGCGAGGAAGATTATCGAGCGGTTCTCTACTGATCAGCTTCTCGATATCCTGCAGGAAGCTATTGTGCGGCATCCAGATGTCCTAGAAATCGTTAGATCAACCGCGGATTCCGATATCTCTCAGAGGAAGCTCTTCATCCGTGGACTCGCGGCGGAGACAACGACGGAAGGTCTTCGTTCGCTTTTCTCCAATTACGGAGATCTTGAAGAAGCTATTGTGATTCTCGATAAGGTTACTGCTAAATCCAAAGGGTATGGTTTCGTTACTTTTAAGCATGTTGATGGGGCTCTGCTTGCTTTGAAAGAGCCGTCTAAGAAGATTGATGGGCGCGTTACGGTTACGCAGCTTGCGGCGGCTGGGAATCAAGGTACCACGAACTCACATGTTTCAGACATATCGATGAGGAAGATTTATGTGGCGAATGTGCCGTTTGATATGCCGGCGGATAGGTTATTGAATCAGTTTTTGGCTTATGGGGATATTGAGGAAGGTCCTTTGGGTTTTGATAAAATCACTGGTAAATCAAGGGGTTTTGCGCTGTTTGTTTACAAGACTGCAGAAGGTGCTCAGGCTGCACTTGCTGAACCTATGAAGGTGGTTGATGGAAAGAATTTGCAGTGTAAATTGGCTATTGACGGTAAGAAAGGAAAGCCACCAGGTCAAGATGGTGGTGCTGGGGTTGGACATGGTCATGGTCATGGTGATGGAATGGGTATGGTTCCTCCTCCTGGACCTTATGGTGTAGCTGGTGGTGGTCACGGTGGACCTGGTGGGCTGGGTGGTTATGGTGGATATTCAGGAGGACAAGCACCGCATCACATGAATTCCACACCGTCTTCAATGGGTGTTGCTGCTGCTGGTGGAGCAGGTGCCTATGGAGGGGCATATGGTGGTCATTACAGTGCATACGGTGGTGCAGGAACTGGGGGTTATGGTGGTCTTGGTGCAGGATCAATGGGCGTTTCTGGTGGTGGTTATGGGCCTGGTTCTGGAAGTGGGGCGTATAGAATGCCACCCAGTTCGATGTCTGGTGGTGGTTATCCAGAGAGTGGGCACTATGGACATTCATCAGCGTCAGCATATCCTGGACAACATCAGCCTGTTGGTTCCTCTCCGGTGCCAAGAGTTCCTCTTGGAGGAATGTACCCCAATGTTCCACCAAATTACTGAGCGGTGAGACGATTCTTCCTTCTATCATTCTTTTGGCTTTACCTTGCTAGTGGCAGCTTTTTTTGTTTTGTTGCATGTGCATGGTCCTTGCATTTTGACATATTCTTCACTTGTTTTTGCAAAGTTGTTTTTGTCTGTTGTTGTGCCTTTAGTGATTTTGTATGCTAGGAATTCCTTTGTTTTTTTTCTTTCTTAATTGTCTGCTTTGGGCTAGTTGCTTGCGTTGGGTGGTTACTTGATGATGCAATGCCTGATTATGTTGTTAGCATGAATTCATGTGTTTACTTTGTTACTCACAGCAGATAACCAGAAAAGTCGCGCCTTGAACCCTTTTCTGGTGAATAGCTGGGTAAACTACAGTTATATTAGTCATTAGTACATTTGATTCTCTTCATCTGCTTTGGCTTTATAGATAAGTTATCTTATGCTGTTACTTTTTCTGGCTTTCTGCAACCATCGTCATCATCATCATTAGCCTTCAGTTCCTCTCATATTTACTTTTAGTTACCTTCAAAAGTATGCTTGGGTGCATAACATTGTCCATTGGTTCCCATACATTGCTGGGGAGTTCTTCTTTTCTGCTTAAAGTATAATTTTTCTTGAGAAGTGACTTGTTTGTCTAATGACCAACTTGAGTTGTGAATGGATGTTTGATTCAGGTTTGTGACAGGGAGAAGATGCTTTTTGTGCTTAATGGTGATTTCCTGATTGCAGCCTCTTTAAAATCTCTGGATTGATGAATGTATTGCTGATTTGATATCTCTCTCTCTCTCTCTCTGCACTTGATCTGAATGTGTCTTGGCGTATGAAATGCCTAGTTGCTCTATGACTGATTATAGACTAGGATATCATCCTGTATTTTTTTTCTTTCATAGGCATAGTCGGCAGATTGGTTTTGTTTGTCAGAGTAGTGAGAGTTTTTAATAATATTGGTGTAATTTTTTACTTTGTACTGGTTAATGCTCCTTTACTTTTGTGTCTTTGCTACAACATAGATACTTGTCTGTGATCTTTGTGGACATTCGTTTTGGTTAAAATCTACCTACAGAATCCTTTACTTGACATAAACAAAAGTGGCACTGGAAGATTTGCTGTGTGGATCATATTGTTGACTGGTTGATTCATAGGTTGAAAGTGCTGAACATGTGCTGTAGCAGCTTGATATACTGAGCAACTTCTATTGCCTTTCATCATTTCAAATCAGACATGGGAAGCCCCATTGTCTATCCATGTCAAATACAGACATGATAAAAGTGTCTTGAAGAGTATGTTTTTTGTTAGCTGATGTTGCCATTGTTTGATTCAGATGATAAACAAATCTATTTGATTCTTTGTGGTATATCAAGGGATAAGAGTTTTTCTATCAAAGATTTTTTTTTTTTTTTTCCTTAAAAAAATGACTTTGTTTGGGTAAATATCCGCTATTGATATTTGACAGTTCTTGCTTTGGTGTCCACAATTTACGAGAAATTGGTATAAAATATTCTCTTGTCCTCTTGGGTCTGAAGACAAAGACTTTGATCTGATCTCACTTCTTGTCCACAAACAGACTAGTCGTGTGTCATTGTTAGTAGAAATCATTTTTCATCACACTAACGTATATGACCACTTGGTCTTTTGTTTTACATTTCATTTGGTCCTTATTGGGAGATTTTCCGGTGCAACCTCGTGGGTGCGGGCTACATAATAACTTTGGGCTGTGTGAGGAGGACGAGGATGACGACTACAACGAAACAAACTCTTTTTAAACATGTAAACCATAGATGTGTATAGGGCTACATTTTTGTACGTTTCATCTATAATATAATCATCTTCTTCAAAAAAAAATGTGTATTGACATAATTGTAATGTAACCAAAATTATTACCGATCAATGTGGTGTTTCTACTGCTACTTTCGTTTTTTCTTTTCTAAAGCTGTGAATGTAGTGATCTCTAATTTGGAGCTTTCTATTCATTTTTACTGGGTTTAAAAGTAATTACACATCTTTGTTTAAGAGGTAATCCTTGTTTTTCATGTATTGAATGGGTTAATTTTCTTGTTTAGTTGAGAGACCCAAAAAAAAATCTGATTAAATTTGAAATAAACAGGTATCCAATACGGTTAAAAGCTACAAAATGGGGAGATATATTTCCTTAGATAAAAATCAAAAAGCTTATAGAGAGAATTAAATTCCAAAAAAAGAGTTGAAAGCATTAAAAGTAAAGAGGTGGTATATATATCATCATCAAGTATCCCTCGAGTGTCTCGCCCAGCTTCGTTCGCACCACATAATCTTAAAAAGAGGCATTTTCGTAGGCTCGACTCAGTAAACCCTAGATTCATCCCCGAAAATGTTCAGATCTATGCTCGTCCGATCTTCTGCCTCCGCGAAGCAGGCGGTTATTCGCCGTAGCTTCTCTTCCGGATCCGTCCCCGAGCGAAAAGTCGCCATCCTTGGTGCCGCCGGTGGTATCGGTCAGCCTCTTGCTCTTCTTATGAAGCTTAATCCCCTTGTCTCTTCTCTCTCCCTCTACGATATCGCTAACACTCCTGGAGTTGCCGCTGATGTCGGTCACATCAACACCAGATCTGAGGTAATCCCTTTTTTTGCAGTCTCTCAGATTCCCTCAGATTTATCATCTTCCCTTTATTAGATTCGTTAATTCTTCACTATACTCTCATTGGATTAATGTCGTTCATGTGAGATTGACTTTTTCTTTTTGATATAGGTTGTTGGATACATGGGCGATGATAACTTGGCCAAAGCTCTCGAAGGAGCTGATCTCGTTATCATTCCAGCTGGTGTACCAAGGAAGCCTGGTATGACCCGTGACGATCTCTTCAACATTAATGCTGGAATTGTCAAGAACCTTTGCACTGCCATCGCCAAGTACTGCCCACATGTAAGCCTACGCTATTACATTGCATTTCAGATTTTATCTTTTCCATTGGATCATTTGCCATAGTATACCAAGAGCATGATCTTACATAGCTCTTAAAATAATTGTTTGGTGTTTAGGTCTAAATTGTTTTAGATAGTGAATTTGCCCTCACTTCCCCAAGATTGTTGACTTTTAGGTTTACAATGTCGCCCTTTTGTTCTGCTAAATTTGGTTTCCATCAAATGACTGACCTCTGGAGCTACTCTTTTGTTGATTCAGGCACTTATTAATATGATCAGCAACCCTGTGAACTCCACTGTTCCTATTGCCGCTGAGATATTTAAGAAGGCTGGTATGTACGATGAAAAGAAATTGTTTGGTGTTACCACTCTTGACGTTGTCAGGGCCAAGACTTTCTATGCTGGAAAGGCAAATGTCCCTGTTGCAGGTTTGTGTAGATGCCTTTTCACCTCTTGTATTCATAAGTTTTGTTTCAAAATGTGTTCATCTCATGAGCTGTGTTCAAGGGTTTTTGTCTTTACACTATAGCACTATACTGTCTTATCCTGAAAAATAGAATGCCAAGCCTGAGGCTTTAATGTGAATACTTCTTTGTGTTTGCAGAAGTTAATGTTCCAGTGATTGGTGGTCATGCTGGGGTTACAATTCTTCCTCTCTTCTCTCAGGTTATCTCTCACTTCCTCTCTACTCAGATTGTGGTTGGGTGTTGGATATTGAATGTCCTCTTTCTGCTACCATGGTTTAGCTCAGTTCGACTCAAGTTTCTCTGTTTGTAAACATGTAGGCCACTCCTCAAGCCAACTTATCTGGTGATGTTCTAACCGCCCTTACTAAGCGTACCCAAGATGGAGGTACAGAAGTCGTGGAGGCAAAGGCAGGAAAAGGGTCAGCTACATTGTCAATGGCGTAAGTATTATACTATTTTTTTCATAATTATTCGCACTTGGTAAAAGTTTCGTGATTCTAACTTAACTTTTGAAAAAATTTCACAGCTATGCTGGAGCCTTATTCGCTGATGCATGCTTGAAAGGACTCAATGGTGTTCCTGATGTTGTTGAATGCTCATACGTGCAATCCACAATCACCGAGCTTCCTTTCTTTGCCTCAAAGGTAATCCTCAAAACTTAGCATTAAACAGACACATCCTACTTTCTCATGACTCCATTGATGAATGTGTTGGTTTGATAATGATTCAGGTGAGGTTGGGGAAGAACGGTGTGGAGGAGGTTCTTGACTTGGGACCACTCTCAGACTTTGAGAAGGAAGGCTTGGAAGCATTGAAGCCAGAACTCAAATCCTCCATCGAAAAGGGAGTCAAGTTTGCCAACCAGTAATTAAAGACCGAGTTGAGTCGATAATTTTTCCAATTTTCCAGCTAGAGTTGCCTCATCTTCCTTCATCGGGTTGTACCAATAAAAATCCATGTTTGTGCGTCCACTAGTGAACCATAAGGCTATTTTGGTTCATCACCAAACACAGAAAAACTTAACATGTCAAGCTATGATATTTTTCTTCCTTTTGGAACCATGTGACTTTCGTTTTTTATGAACAAAGAGAGATCATTGGTGTGGTGTTACCATGGGTGAGCTGTTTATCCTTGTTAGTGTAAACAAGGAAAAGGTAAAGAGTATCCTCCAACAAGATTTTAACTCTCGGGACCAGTCGACCTTTCCAACAACACAAGGTTGACGATGGGCCTTAACTCCAATTCCAGCTTCATGGACTTTGTCAATCTAATGTTGGAAATAAGGCCCAGTCATGGTTGTCTCTTTCTCATCTCAGTTTCAGACCATATCCTCCTCAATAAGTTTCCATCGCAGTTATTGTTGTTGTGACTTTTATTTTCTACAGTTACATAAAAAACGACAAAAACATATCTATCTCTCGACAAAAAGGGTACCAGAAAACTGAACTAAAGCATGCATCGTCCTTTCGCTTTTTACAAATGGCACATGCATTTTCAATTTTTATCATCATCCCTCAACATTCGTACGTCTTTATTTGCTTTTAACTCTAAAATTGCAAAAAATGATTATCAATAGATGATCCACGATGATCGTCCTTTCTATACACCTATTTCATGTAAACTATAATATAACTAAGCCTCGATTTATGATTTTTTAAGATATATATATATATATATATTCCTTTATTCTTTTGTGTACTTCCTTTATGTATACGACCCTATTATAGGAGGACTCATGATGTCAAAATTAAATAATATATATATATAGGAGGACTCATTAACTCTAATAATAATCCGTTTAGTGCAATTTCGTGTTAGTGTGTTCGTTTGGTCACCGCGTGCAGTTGCGGCAAGCCGGCAACAGCAGACGCAACATTTTTATTGTTATTCAAAATTTTAACCGCTGAGCCAACTTATAGCGACCAAACAAACAGATCCAATATCTTCACCTCTCTCTCTCACTTCAAATATCAATTTTAAGACAAAATTAAGAACGGTCACGTTTGAGGAAGCTCACTTCTATCTAACTCTCATCACCAATTAAAAGAAATGAAATTGTTTATTTCTTTGCCCTGAAAATGACAAGTACAAAACTGATAATTTCTGAAATGGAATGGACGAATGATTTTATGGAATTTTCACCATAATTTAATTTATTTTGTTACGAAAAAATGGAAAAACAAAATAAAATTTACAAGTTGAGAAAACATTGTTTTTTGTTTGCTTGTAAGAAAAAAAGAAATAAATTTACAAAAAAAAAAAAAAGGGGAGTGAGATAAGTGGGAATGAGTATGTGAGGGTGACGGGGAGTGTACTTACTGACACACACAACAATCCGATCGAAGACATTATTATTAACTTAAAGGCTATATTCGTAATTCTCTTGTAGAGTCTGTAACACTTGTAGCGTAGTTGCAATCCAAAACAAAAAAAAAAACATTTATTTCTGTCTGAGCAATTGTCATTATTTGATCAAAGATGAATAAACATTATCTCATATTTTCATACAAATTCGTAGGTGTAAATATACGGGTATTATATCAATAGGATATGACTCGGTTTATAATTGAGAGAAGTGGTTAGAAATATCATTTTTAGTTAGGTGACAATATAATATGGCAAAAGATAAAAAGTTATACAATAAGAGTGTTGGAAATGCATTTATAAACCACACCTCATATTTAATGACATTTTGGTATATATATAAACAGCATTGTGAATTCTGAGAACAAATTGTGGATAGGAACATCGACAAAGCTGTTTTATACATTTGTTTCCAAATTGATTCCGTCGAATCATACGGATTTTACAGGTTGTAACACCTCTAAACCCAATACAAATCTGGCTGTGGAAATAAAAGTTGTATGTATTTGTTTACTTGAAAAAGAAAGTAGAAAAAAGACAATCAAAATTTAGTTTATTATACTAATGCCCAATTATTAGTGTCTCCAACTCTCCAACAAAGCTTTATTTAATATTTTCATCAACCAAAATTTTTAAAAATAGTTGTTTATACTTGACCATTATGATGTAACTTAGTATATAGCTAATCATATAATAATCAAATGTCTATTAGGCTATAATAATACCATGTAAAATACGAATTTGACAAAATCTTAACAGTAGACATTTCAAAAAAAAAAGAAAAAGCAGAGAAAAGCGCAGGTGGTGGTGATGAGAGATTACAGAGAAGCTCTTTTTATGACCAGACAAACACTCTCTTCTTCTTCCCCAAACCCCAATGTACAGTAACTTGTCTCTCTCTCTCTCTCTCTCTCTCTCTCTTCCTTTTTTTTTTTAACCGTTACTGTAAATTTTCCCGAGAAAAGCTTCTCTCTTTTTTTTCTTCTTTCCTTGGGTTCTCTCTCGATTAGTCAATTTCCACAACTTCTCTTTCTCTCTTTTTGCTTTGCTTATCTGTTTTGTTTGGTCTCCTTCTTCAATTCTCTCTTTCACAATACACACCAAACCTTTTCTTTTCTTCTTTTAAAGAAGTAATCTTTACACCAAAAGACTGAAAATTCAGTTATGGGTTAGTCTACAAATTCGATTTCTTCTTCTTCTTCTTCTTCTTCATCTCTGAAGTAATTGTTGATTTGGTGGCGAGTTTAGGTTTTGGGAGGATAGAGAGAGAGAAGCATGATGTTGAATTGAATAACAACGAACGACTCTGGATTCCTCGGCGGTTAACGACCGCCGTCGTCGCCGTCGTCATAACCCAACCACCACCATCAACGACCTTGAATTTCAACAGTATGCTTCATCAATGGCAGCGAACCACCATTTAGTAGACTCTCCGTCGCCGCCTCCTCTTCTCGAGATGAGACACAACCAATCAGCGTTTAATACGGCGGCGGAGAACGGTGGTGGTTGCGGCGAGATCGTGGAGGTGCAAGGAGGTCACATTGTTCGGTCAACAGGGAGAAAAGACAGGCACAGCAAAGTCTGTACGGCGAAAGGACCACGTGACCGGCGCGTTAGACTCTCAGCTCCGACGGCGATTCAGTTCTACGATGTTCAGGATAGACTTGGTTTTGATCGGCCGAGCAAAGCCGTTGATTGGCTTATTAAGAAAGCTAAATCCGCCATTGATGATCTCGCTGAGCTTCCTCCTTGGGATCCCGCCGATGCTCTCCGTCAACACGCCGCTGCTGCAAACGCTAAACCCAGAAAAACCAAAACTTTAATTCCTCCGCAGCCGCCACTACCTCCGCCGCACCACGAAGAAACAGAGCATCATCATCAAATCGGAGAAGAAGACAACGAATCGAGTTTTCTTCCGGCGTCGATGGACTCTGATTCGATTGCTGATACCATAAAGTCGTTTTTTCCGGTAGCTTCAACGCAACAGAGCTATCATCAGCAGCCGCCGTCACGAGCTACTACACAAAACCAAGATCTTCTTCGTCTCTCGCTTCAATCTTTCCAAAATGGTCCACCTTTTGCTGATCAAACAGAGCCTGTTCTCTTCTCCGGCCAGAGCAATCCATTAGGGTTTGACTCATCAACGGCGAGCTGGGACCAGAATCACCAGTTACCGGAATTTGGAAAGATACAGAGACTGGTGACGTGGAACAACGGTGGAGCAGCTGATACCGCCGGAGGAGGAGGAGGATTTGTGTTTGCTTCTCCGTCGTCGTTTCAGCCAGTTTACAGCCACCAAAGTCAGCTTTTATCTCAGAGGGGTCCCCTTCAGTCCATTAACACACCTATGATCCGTGCTTGGTTTGATCCTCACCATCATCATCATCATCCTCAGTCCATGACCACTGACGATCTCCACCATCATCATCATCCTTACCATGTTCCTACGGGGATTCACCAATCAGCTATACCAGGCATTGCGTTTGCATCAAGTGGTGAATTCTCCGGTGGTTTTCGCATACCAGCACGGTTTCAGGGGGAACAAGAGGAGCAAGGCGGCGACAACAAACCGTCCTCTGCTTCATCTGATTCTCGCCATTAAAACAGAGTTCCAAAATCACAAAAAAGATCGTGTAACACAAATGGTTTCTTGTCCTATTCCAAGGTTTGAAGTTTTTCCAAAACATCCATCTCTGAAAGTTTTGTTCTTTACATCAAATTGTTAACTAGTATTCTTGTTAATGTTGCAGGGAGCTTCAATTGCGTGGGATAGGGAATGTGTTCTCGTCTTTGTGCGTTTTGGATATCGAATAGGAGAATAGAGAAACAGACCTGATCAACAGTTTCAAGTTTCTCTTCTTCTAAAGTCCAAGCATTTGTTAGTTTGAGTTCATCATCTTGTATCAATATTAAAACTTTCTTGTTTAGCTCTAGCTACATGAGCTCACATCTTGTTTGTTGTATAACTTGTTTTTGTTGTTGTTCTAAATTAATTGTTCGTTTGCTTATGCTCTTGTGTTGGAAACCTTTAACCCCACTTGAAGCTAAAGTCTCAAGCTTTTGCCCTTTATTCCATGTGGATTTATTGCTTTACTCAAGAAATATCTCTGCTTTTTTCCTTGCCAATCCCAAAGAGGAACAGTACTATCTCTATCCATGTACATGATCATGATACATCACATTGTCTGGTTATAGCTTGTTCCATTAGAGAAGTATTGTTTTTCAATTTTATTTTCCAATCAACTTTCTTTTGTTTTCAGGCAAAGAGAATTTGGAACATATCATTTCTCTTGTGTTTGTTTTAGTCTCTTCTTTTTGGCCCCATAGATGATGAGTCCTTTTCAATAGACAGAGTTTGCATGTGTTGCTTCTTTTGGAGTTTAGAATTTAGAAGTTAGAATGATGGGTTTATTTTTAAATTTTTATTTAGTGGATGCTAGTTCTGGAACTTGGTATAAATCAGAAAAATGGTTTTTTATTTGGTGTGCAGCTCTACTAGATTTCAATATTTTATGAAAAAGAGTAAAAGAGAATTTGATGTCTAGTGTCAATGACACATACTTAAACAAGAGTGTAGGAGATCCACCAAACTTGAGTGTGATATAGCCTTTAATTAGCAAAAAAGAATAGGACATTTAGATTAGTACATGAAGACACCCTTGTTGGTCTAAATGAAGGAAGTTCAAAGAAGACTTAATTCATTTTCTTTTAAGATAAGTATGCGATTTCTTGGTATAATTTGTATATATACAGAGATGAATATAATTTGGAGAAGCTTTTACAAAGTAAGCAACACTTTACATGTGATGTGATAAGATGAGATAGGAAGTAGTGGCTATACATCCTTCAAGTACGGTATATTGCACCAAAATTAAAGGAAAAAGGAAGATATATAGAAAGCCTCTGATTCTTTTTATCAAATGTGTGTATACTCAAAACTATATCAATTTCAACTTTTGCAAAAAAAATGTAGTTCTTTTTCCTTCACCTACTGATGAATGAAGATATACAGTATATACATGGAGCTCTTGAAGAATGAATCTGGTTTATGTGAGAGATTAGTGAGGTGTGAACCATCTATTGTATGATTTTGGGATGTGTAATTAAAAAGGGGGGAAGCATGTTGAAGAAGACATGGATGGACATGGGACTCACTCAATAAGAGTAATAATAAAAAGGATAGCAAAGTGTAAGAAAAGGATGTAACCAAAATGGGGAAAAAGGTTGTCACCTTTAGAGAATGGTCCCCTCTCTTCCTCTTGTCAGATCTCTAGGTTTACAGCTGTTTCTTCATTCTATTTCTTCCATACTTAGTTTAAACTTTGTCAAATTGGTGAAAATTTCAAAGAATGAAACAATTGCCAATTCGCTCCAAAAAAAAAGACTTTGGGTTGGGTGCTCCTGTAACTTCAAGGTTAGAGTTTTTAGATCTTTTGGGTTCAATGACATCCGATTGAAAATAATAAAGAAAGCAAATATGGTCCCGGCGGGGCTCGAACCCGCGACCTTCGGCTCATAAGACCAACGCTCTAACCAACTGAGCTACGGGACCTTGACGATATGATAATACCTTTGTACATAATGAATCCAAAAACAATTCATCGTTGATGCACACGACTGAGTTTTTTTTTTGTGCCAACACCCAAATTGGATTTGACTAAGTGACTATGCTGTTATTGAATCGAAAGAGGTGACATCGAAGGCAAGTATCAGATTCATACAGCAGCAGCAAAGTAGCTCGTCATAAGTTGGTTTGATCGTTTCTTTTTTTTCCGAAAAAAATTAACAAAGTTTAACCTCTAAATATAATGACTGAGTACAAGAAACTTATTCTTGGTTCAATACCAGAGAGGTTCAGAACATCCATTAGTAAAACTGTGAGGGAGGGAGTAAAAAAGGGGACAGTGATGAAGTTGTAGAAGAAGCATACATACAGAATAAACATGAAATATAATATTAGCTTATATAAGACTTGTGTTTTCAATTCAATACATAAAACACTGACAAATCTCAGGATTTACCGTTAAGTTTTTACACTCTTAAATCCATAAACATAAAGAGAAGAAAAGAAACCACGCTAGAAGAATCTCACTCATGTGAACAAACTCTTTGAACAGAGTGTCATCTCTACGACCAGCCAAACCAGTAATCAAGAATATAAACCAGACCCAATGAGAATGGGTAAAGCAAGTAAGCTATGAAACATGTCCAAAGAGGATAAGTTGTGCGGAAACTCGCAAAACTTCCCATCACGAGACATACTATGAGAATCACTAACACTTCTGATGAGAAGTTCCATGTTAGTCCTCGAAGGTAGACGATTGCTAAGAACACCGAGAGACACAGAATGTTGTTCATTGTCACTCCACCACATAGCTGCAAGCAAACAAAAAAACATTAAAAAACAGGTATTTAGTTTAGGTAGGATAGCTAGGCAGAAAGATATAAGATGTATGGTTACAGACCTCGGAGAAAGTTAATGAGGCAGTTCTGATCTTTTTGCGGGAAGCGAAGATGATGGCAGACACGGCTTCACTTGAATTGGTTGCTAAAGGCAAAGCGATGAAGGAAATGAAGAAAGATGGGATCCCTGTGGCTGCAGAGAAGTTGTTAACAGTGTCGACTAAAGGATCTGCAAATGCAGCTGCAATGGCAGCTCCCAAGAGTAGCAGCAGAGCTGCTTTAATCGTGATCCATTTTGGGTCTGCAACCTCACCCCCTTCCTCTTCGTTCTCACCATTTTCATTATCTCCCAACAGAGTATGCTCTCTCTTTGTTTGCTGCAAAAAACGAGGTTATTTGCCATATAATTAATTTAGAGACATTTTGTGACCAAGTGTGTTCAGAGAGGATTTCAACAGTTTCTATACCACATGGAAATGGTCGAGGAATTTCATCGTTCGAGGACCAGCATCAGGACCAGCTGGGCCAGCAGTTCCCATTGCCTGGAGGAGCCAATGTTTAATGCCACGTACAAACTCGTCTTGATCAACTTGCTCATCGAGAGTCTTATCAAAATCTTGGAGAACTTTTCCCACAGCATCGTCCTTGTCAAAATCAATCTCCTCAAAGCTGATCCCAATAATAAGCGCCTTTAGTTCAGCCGCTGATAAGTGCCCGTCCTTGTTAGCATCAATAGTCTCAAACAACCTAATATTATAAACAGATAAACAAGAGCACAAGGTGAAAATGAGTAAAGTCAAAAGTGTCTAGAAAATTGTTGATTTCTCCATGTAAGGAAACAATGACTTACCTTCGAATGACATGTTCATCAGGCTGACCTTCATCATCAAGAAGCCTTCCCAAAGCATGTTGTTTCAAGTGCTTTAGGATTCCTGATATAACATGCTTGTGCTTTGCGAAAGCAAGCCGTCTCCTTTGGATCCATGGTTGGAAGACCTAGATATCATCATACCAGGAATAATTATCACACAAACACAATGTATAAATCCATCAGTCCAATGGATACTTTCTTAGAGCTTCTGTCCAGAAAATTTGATGTTACCTGATATACACAGTAAGAGATTAACATAAGAACCGATATAACTAGAGCAACCAACACAGACAAGTGTCTTCCAGATGTTGAGCCCAACATCTGCGGAAGCTGGACAATGACAAATGGAATGACGGATATAGCCATTATTCTTGCAGCATAGCTGGTCCAAACATCAACAGTTACACCAGAATCTACAAACAGAGTAAAAGAGCAATAAGTAAAGCAAAAGTACTAATTTTCATTTTCACTTTCTGTGAGTTTATCAAAGACTGAAGAAACATTGAAACTAAAAAACATTTCCTTGTTACCTTTAAGACTGAAGCGTTTGGTGTCTTGGTTGTTTACAGCAATTGTATCTCGAAGGTCACACTTGCCAACCACAGTGCAAGTTCCCCAGATAACAGTGAGAAGCATAACGGTGGAGCCAGCGAGCAAACCCATACCCACAGAGACTTGGCTTTGAGCAGTTGCCGCGTCTCCAGAAAGTCCAGACACTGTGAAAGCCAACAGACATTGTTATCTAACTTATAACCAAAGAAACTCAGTCGCTGATACAAATCCAGAGAAACACCAACAAATAAATAAAGACCCATCAAGAAGAAAAAGCAAAGATAATAACTTCACACCAAAAAAAAAAAAAAAAAAAAGATTTTTGATTAAAAAGCACAAGGTGACAAGTTCTAAATTTCATCGGTTGCCATCATTGGATCCTCCTCGTTTCACTATTTTGATCCTCAGAACCTAACAAATGTTCACTTTTGTTTTTCTTCGTTCTCTACCTAACTCACTCGAATTTCAATTAGAGCAAAAAAAAAAAAATTCACCTTTTCTCACCCAAATAAATTTCAATTCCCAATCTCATTTTCTCGCAAAACTCGCACACAAGCATGACACTGTATAGATCGAAGGATATGAAACCTCTACGATCTAAAATTCGAAATTTTCAAATTATTCAAAAAGAGTTCAAGAAAAAAACATTAGAGACATACCCATAATAAGCATAGCGTCAGGGAGGGCGCCGAGCATGGGAAGGAACAAACCACCGACAATTCCAGGGCCAAGGATCTCAAGAAGAAGCTCACTTCCGGCAGAGAGATAAGTGGCAGCAGTGAACATGAGAAACCCATAAACCAAAATCAGAAACACGTTCCCGAGCGCCGTCTTAGTACACGGCATAAACCCGTAGGTCTGTTCACAAGCTTCCTCTTTCTCCTCTTCCGCGGAAACAACCGTCTTGATAACGGATCCGGAACCGGCGAGATTTCGACCGCCGTCGATTCCATCGGAGATAAGACCGGCGGAAGAGGGACGAACGGCGACGAATCTAGCGTAAGCAGATGTAGTGAAGAAGAGAAGGAAGAGGAGAGAGATGAGAGATCTGAACCTCATGATTGATTCCGAAAGAAGAAAACAACAAAAAAAAGGTAAATGAGCAACACAAATCAAAGGAGGACGTTCATGGGAGAGAGAGAGAGAGAGAGAGAGAGAGATCAATCAGTGGAGCTTTGTGGATGAGTATGTATATACGAATATATAGTTGGGATAAATAAATAAATAAAAAGAGATGAGACTAAAGTTGTGTGTATGTGTGTAAGTCGTGTGGGGCAGTTTTTTTGGGGGAAGATGGCGATTTGATTTACTCACCGGTGAAGATGAAAAGCTTGAGGAAGGAAGATGAAGAAATCAGTGTCTAATTACTATCTTAACCCTGTTAATTTGGGTATTTTAATAATTTACCAAAATCGCTTGATTTTCTTCTATTTTATATACGTTGGACTATAAAGGAAATATATATATACAAATATGTTTAGTTTAATTTACTAAATAATATAAATTTTGTCCACCTTAAAGAGATGACAAAGTAGTTGTTAGTGTAAGTTTTATTAATTTAAATTTTAATCATATAATATTTGTCCACCTCAAAAAGATGATGACTATGTAATTTATTTAAGAAAAAATAAAATTCTTCGGGATACTTGACTAATACTTCTTCCCTACATTAATGGTTTTCCTCAAATTCAATTCAGCATATGAATTTTTCAAAATTTATTTTATATTTTTCCTTTTTAGCATTTTAATATTTAAATATATAAAAATTTCAATTCAAAAAGAAAAGAAAAATAGAAACAAAGTAGGTAAAGGTATCATCAATTCAAGATTTTTAATGGGGTAGATATGTCCACATTGTTTTTTGAAAATTTCGGTTATTTATGATGGGGTATTTTTTTCCCTTTTTATAAATGTTTCAGTATTTATAGTCAAAAAAATATTTGTCTTACCTTAATCTCAACTTTTTAAAAAACTTTTGGGGTCAATTTCAACTATAGTAACGTAGGCAGGGGCTGAAAAATAAAAAGTAAAAACAAAGTAGGTAAGGGCGTTACGGGAACTGTACGCTTATACAGCTTAGAAACGTTCGTTAGTTTAGTCATAATTAACCGGATTTGATTACGCGGCCACACGTGTAATATTAAGCTAATCTCAGGGGCATAAAATCAAATATTAGTCAATTTTTGCCGACACTGTAGATACCATATAAAAGAAACTTAATAATACACTATTTTAAAAATCCATTTTATTAAAGGGAAAAAAAAAAAACAAACGAAGATTGTTTAAGGACGCGGTCGCGACGCTGTGCTAAGTTTAACGATCCAAAACATCACGTAGTTTGTTAATTAAAAACAACACGCATGTTTGGGTATTTTGAATGAGGTAAAAAAAAAAAAAAAAAAACTAGATGACAAAAAAAAAAAAAAAAAAAAATGAGGTAAAACAATTGGGCTTTGTTGACAAAAGAAAAAGAAAAAAAAATTGGGCTTCGTCAGTTTAAAATAGGCCTAAAGGCCCATCAAGTAAGAGCGAAATCTCAGGATTTAAGATTTTATCATCTCCCCTCCTTCAATTTGTACCTACCTTTTCTTCTTCCTCTCTCTGTTTCTATGGTGGTATGGTAGGTATTTAGGGTTTTGGATTTTTCTATCTTTGTCCAAAACCCTACTACCCCCTTAAAGGGAAAGCTTCGTTTTTTTTTGTGACGTTTAAACTTCTCTTACAAGTATACTTCTTCATCTTCCTCTTTCTGGGTTCGAGAATTCTCGCCTAAATCATTATCTCTGAGCTAAATTTTCGGATTTCACTCAATTATATAACTTCTGAGTATCGATTCACACGAAGATTTGGGAGGTTAGGGTAATGGTAGAAACGGAAGAGAAATCTGGTAAGTGTGAAGAAATTAAACTTAAGCGTCGTCGTGTGAGTAGCTCAGAGATTGACTCTGTCGCCCCAGATACACAAAAGTACAAGAGAGTTCATCTCTGTAGAGCAAAACCATCTTATCTTCTGAGTCTTGGAAATAATGAAAGCAGAAGCGAGTATCTCAATAGATTACCAGGGATCCTTCGTGAGCTTCTTCGTAGGAGAAATTGGAGTGATGCAAGTCGTGTTCTTTCAGTTCTGATGAAAGGGACTATGAATGATCATTGCCCCAAGATGAATCGTCTCAAATACGAGGTCGTTTGAGTTCTGAAGTTTTGCTTTATTAATAATCTCCAAATGATGAAATTGTGCTTGCTTCTCTGTTGTTGTATGTATCTTATTGTTCCTTTGTTTTTTTGTTTGCAGGCTCATATACAAATTGTAAATCACTCGGAAACTCAGAAAAAGAAAGCCGATGAGATTGGAAGAATATATGATACTTGGATTGGGCAGATTGGTAAACAACATAAAAAGGTTCCTTTTTAGATTTGTAATTTCGTTAACTTGATTGTGTGTATCGTAGTTCTTGATTGAATATTGCTCTATAGCTCTAGGATAACATTGCTCATTTGGACAGGAGAGGCTCTTGGTTTGGTACGAGCAAATTTGTCATTTTATTGAGCATGAGATGCACACTGACGCTAAAAGTGCTGCAATCAGGTACGATTGGTATCTTCTTGAACTAGTTTTTAATGGGATGTTGGGATTTCTATTGATTTTTTTTATATAGTTAGCATACTATTTCAGTGCACATGTTATCTTGTAATTGTGTATACTCATTGAGATGGTCGATGTTTATCCACCAATGCATAATTCCACTTTCCTGAGGGTGGTGTGCTAAGTTTCTGCTTGGATTAATTTTGATGATTTCTGTTTTTCTATCTTTTGGTAGCTTGATGCAGAACCGTGATTTTGGAATGCTTCCACGGGCCAATCTTTTTATAGGAATCATATTCTACAAGTTGTGGTGTAGTAAATTCTCGAAGGAATTACAGCCTGAAGAGGCAGATGATGACAACAAAAGCTTATCCAATATGTCGGAATCAAAATCCAATAGTCTGGCTGAGTGTTCAGGCGGGGATGATTCGGCTTGCTCTGTGGCGTCAGAGGTTTCTGCTAGAAAAGATTCAGAGACTTCCGTCATGAATGGTAAAAAGGGTTCCCATTTGTCAATCAGTGACTCAGGAACAAAGATGGATACGAAGGTAAAACTAAAGAGTACTCCACATGTTACCACTTCACCACAACTCTATGCAACCTCTGAAGAAAACGAAGGCTCTTTACGGGATGGAGTTGAATTTGATCCCACTGTTATTAGTATTCTTGGTTAGTACTGAATATTTCTTCAGCTTGCATTATGCTATAATCCATAACCAGTTCTGATGAAATATGGCTTCTTTTTTCCGATGTTAGGCGACATGGATCCATGGTTGCTTCCTTTAAAACCACCAAAAGATCCTGATTGCTACAATAGGATTGTCAATGATTCGTATTATAAGGATGCTGTGAAACATATGCGGCAAACTCTTCAGTCCCCGTGTCATGTATCTTTGCCGGCATTACATCCACTTGTACAGGTAAAAACTTATATAAATTTTTTGCTTATGTGTCTGATAATGTCATCATGTTTTTCCCTTAGAGCTGGAATGTCTCACACTAATTAGATGTTTGTTTTTTCCTTTCTCTTATCTTAAATTCCCTTATAGCTTCTGTTAATTGGAGGTCATGTAGATGAAGCGATGAAAGTGGTCGAGGAGATGTGCAAAAAAGTACAAGACATAAAACCTTTCAGGTACAAAAAGATAATTTCATTATCTGTTTAGTATATGTACCCGCCTTAGGACTTTAGAATATGGAAACAGAGGAGTATCTGAAGTGGGGGTTTTGGTTCTTTTGCTCAACTGTAGGATTAAGGCCCTAATGATGGAGAAATTTCATCGTAACAGCGACATGCTTGCAAAATCCTATGAAGATATCTTAAAAATTGATCCTTGTTGTATAACTACCCTTAAAAAGCTTATTGGAATGTGCATAGAAGGTATTTAAGATCAAGCTATCAGACCCCTTTTAGTCTTAAGACCTTGAATATTGCGTAAGTTGTTAATAGTACCATTTTTTTTTTGTTACCTGCAGATGAGTATAGTAGAGACTCACTAATCGAAATGATAGCATTGCATGTAGAAGCTTCTTTTCCTGAGCCTGAAATCTGGAAAGAGTTAGCCTCTTGCTTCAGTCTCTTCTTTGAGAATCTTGATGAAGACCGAATGTCGGTATGCCTCGACGACAGATCTGGAGATAAACGAAACCAACAGTCATATTCTGTTAGATACAACCCGACGCCAAAAATGTTCACCAGTAAATTATGGGCTCTTCGGGCTAAGTGCTGGCTAAACCGCCATTTCTCCCCGGAAATGCTCGAGACAGAAAAAAAAAACAGTATAGTGACAGGAGACTGGGAGATGATGAGTTACAAAGCAGCATGTGCAAGTCACATCTACGGACGAGATTTTGGTTATGTTACAAAAGTTTACGGATTCTTGAAGAATAGCAACAACGTAGAGTTTTTCAACTTCTTGCGAGAACACAGAAGGAACTGGAACAAGATTTACAATTTTGAATAGTGTTATTTTTTTAGGCCAAACAATTTTGAGTAGTTTACTCAAATTATAAGGAACCCCCATTTTTCTTTTTAGTATACATGATACTATGGTAGAAGATATACATCGATTTTGAGTAGTTTGATTTTGTAGTTTCACTAAAAAAGTTTACTGTAATTGGGAACTTCTTGTTATTTGTTTTCAAATTGGGAAAAATGTTATTTAAATCCCGAACTTACACATTTTGGCCATTTTAATTTTCGATTTTCACTGTGGCCATTAAAATAATAGATTTCTCGTTGACGTTATTTTTAAATCACTATCTTTTGTTGACTGAGTCAGATTGAGCATTTCGTCAAATCAAATTCTCTAATAGATGAGTTAACAGCCGTTTAAGATCGTTAATCGATCTCTGTTTAAGTCCAATTTGATTTGCCGATATGCTCAATCTGGCTCAGTCAACAGAAGATAGTGGTTTAAAAATAATGTCAACGAGAAGTCTATGATTTTAATGGCCACAGTGAAAGTCGAAGATTAAAATGGCCAAAATGTGTAAGTTCGAGATTTAAATAACATTTTTCCCTTTTCAAATTATAAACCTTTCCTTATTACACGAACATATTGCCATTGAACCTTCATCAGCTCTGTCTTGATCCATGTGAAAAAATTATGTTTTAAAGGTACAAGTGGATGTAGAAGGTAGCTAAACTCACCTCATCTACTAAGAAAGTGTCAAACATTGCATATTATTGAACTGAAGAAATCTGAACCCATGGGGTAAGGAAGAAGGCATCATCCAATGTCAAAACGAGGTGATAGATATTTACCCGAGAGAAGTCAAACCCAAAAGATGATCGATCAAGGATTAAACTCTCGATAACATATACTAACCTCTGGAGATTCCATTTCGGTCGAACCTAAGGACGTAAACTGGGACTGCAGGAGACAGAATCACCTCCCGAGATGACAACCCAACACTAGACAACAAGTACACCTAAGCTGCAGAACCAACCAGTATATCAGATCAGAACTGAGCATCAACAAGTTATACACAGGAGACAAAGCATCAAAATGTCACAATGTAGTAACAAGCAATATATTGTGGTGGATACTGGTTATTAGTAGGATCCTATGAGAACGCCAGTACATTTAACTTCTTTTGTGGAATATGTTTGATAAATTGATCTAGTGAGGATCCATATTTATGTTATAGTATAATCCAGATTAAACGACATCTAAAGACTATAAAAGTAAAGGTTCCCAAGTACATATGCAAAGATGACCTCAAGTGGGAAGTTCTTGTATACACTTGTCACGAACTTGTGTTAGATCAACCTCTTTGTAGAACATTGCAAATGAAAATGACTGAAGCAAAATAAGATCATTAAAGCCTAACCAAATGACAAAAAACAAGAGAAGTATAAGGAGAAAGGAAACCCCTAGAGAAACCAAATTAGCCTGTACAATTTTCATTATCACGTAGCCAAGAAACCAATTAAAAGATGACAGTTTTTGACCAATTCACACATATTTATGTGCACAAAAAAAAAGGTACAAATTTACAGAAAATTCTTTTGGAGCTGAAAACAAACTCAAACTCTGTTTTCTTCTCTTCTTTAAACGTCTCTTTTATATATAAATATATATAAACCCAATAGATTAGATAGCCATTCTTCTTCCTATACCTTTCTCTTCTCCATAACCAGTGCCTCTGCTTTACAGATTGGGCAAACGTTCTTCACAATCAGCCATTTCTCCAAGCATTCTGCATGATATTCGTGCCCGCAATCCAAAGTCGCAATCTTCTCTTCGTTCTTGAAGCTTTCCTGTAAAGAAAGATATTGAGAGGAATCTTTAGCCCTCTAAATCTAAGCCTGTGCTGCCATTTTTAATAGTTTTGATAGTTGGCTATCTTTTACCTGACATATCGTGCAGGGTTCAGTTTCTAAATCTTTACTCCGTGGAGACAACGACTCTTTTTCAAGGTTGATGCCAGAACATGTTCTTGTTTTCAAATGATTCTTAACATCTTCCTCCGGCAAACCAGTGTTTACAGTCCCAATTCGCTCACTCAACGCAAGTAGCTCCTGTTCAAATCCCCGATTTTCAAATCAGATCAACCAAATCCTAACCGTGATCACAAAGAATTGAATTGTGGATTCTCAAGCTCATGCTAAACCCAAAATCTTCTCAGGGAAAAGATAATAAAAGAAGGCGAATTTTAGCTCCTAACTCTGATAACTACATTGGCAAAGAGTAGTAATGGGCTCACCTCGTAAGACATTTCCTCGATGTCCAATCGCATATCTCGATGATGATCAATGTGATTATTTCCAGAACCACCAAGGAAGTCACCAAATTCCAAAAGCGCAACTTCCTATACACATTGAGAGAACCAAAAGATACAGAACCTTGAGCAATGACGGGCATGGAGAAAGATGAGACAGAAAATTTGAGGCAAGACAGTTACATCATCAGGCATCACTCTAAGCCGAGGAACTCCACCACGGTGTTGTCTAAGAGTTGCTACAGGTACAGATTCATCTCGTTGATGATGCTGGTATATCCGAAACCCGGTTGGTTGAATCGGACCCACGTGACTAGAACCCATCTCTGATCCCGGGGGACCACTATTCATTGTGTTCTGAGGAGCAAAGCTCCCATGAGGAACTCTGTATGAGGCCGAGGAAGCCATGTGAGGATATAATGTGGCGGTCTGGCCTCTCACGCCTTGTACAGGAGGAGGTGCTGGGTGGTGATGATGACTATAATAGAGGTCCCTCGGGTTTAACTGTGAAGGATACATAAATGCTGTAGGGTTTCTGCTACTAGACTCTATGGAACCAGCGACAATATTACTACCTGAAAGGTCATTCAAAGATAGATAAATAAGATTTAGAAGTTCAGAAATTTTGAAAAGAGATTGTGTGTTAATCAAGTACCGTGCATGTAAGGTGTGTGGGGCCAAAACGAAGGTGAACCATCAGACCTGCCATGGTGTTGATCATACCAGACTGAGCCAGGTGGTGGAAAAGGATGATGGCCTGCATAGTTTCCTTGAACGAAGTTGTTTGGTGCATGAGGAGGGGGCACAGGGTTCACTGTAACATTCCCTAGTCTGGTCCGAGCACCTCCAAAAGGTGGTATGGTCTCTGGTGCGTTGAATGGAGCTGCTAAGGTACTTAAATATTGAGGTTGTCCGGGTACTCCTTCAGCGTTTTTTCGCTTATATGTCCCTCTTGAGTTATCCATAAAATGAGCATTTCTTTCGTATTCATGATCAGGACTTACTCCAACTACACCGTGACTGCTTGAAGATGGTAACTGACCCGGAGGAGCCTGAAACGCCACATAGGGGACATAGAAATTCGCTGGAACACGCTGATGAGGATGATGATGGTACTGAGGAAGACCGTAGAACATTGCTGAGTTGTCATAAGTTGGGTCTTGAAGAGAATGAGCTTCTAAATTAGGAACATTTGCGACCATGGCAGGGACATTACTAATATTATCCGGTTGTTGGGTAAAGGTGCCTAAAAGGATGCAAGGTTCTGGTTGGAGAGAAGCTTGAGCTTGCTGCTGCTCCATTTCTAAATCAACAGTCCTATTTCTTTGTCCCATTTCGCTTGCTGCAGAAGCCCTCTGATAAGGGTTTTGAGTCATAAAAACATCAACAAACCATATGGTGACACAACAAAGTATATATTGAGTAAGAAATCGAACTTCTTGATTCAAACCAATGCAACATTATTACTATCTCAAGCTGATACTTAAAAACTAAGCTATCACATTGTCATCTGCACAAACTTATGAGTTTGGAAATTAAGTAACGAAACCAAAACATACGAAACACATGGTCTCCTTGATTTAGCCTCAGAAAAATGTCTCTAATAGAAACCGTATTCTCGGAAGAACCGCATTGTGCATTCTCAAACTCATGGAAACAGGGTAAAGCCAAGATCATTTTTTCACGGAAACTAAATGAACAAAGACTGAAACTTTTAGCTGCAGAGAAAAAATCCAAAACCAAATTCATAGAACAATAACAATTCTTCAAACGCCATAAGAAAAAAAAGATCAAAACTTTCTAACATTAACAGAAACAGGAAACAAGCCCACCATGCCTAAAGTAGAATAAAGCAAAGAAAGAGAGAAGAAAGGTCTGACCTTGAGAACATTAAGAAAAGCTTCAATGGGGGCAGAGCAAACAGCAGCAAAAGAAACAAAGACTTGGTAATTACCTGAGAATCCAAAACCAAAAACTCCCTGCAAGATGAATCAACGATGATCAAAAGAGATTAAAATCATAACCAAGAACAATGCAATCTCTTCAGATAAAGTTGATGATAACACAATTATCAAAAACTCACCAAATAAAACTTATAAAAAAAGGATTTTTATTGTTTTTCCCAGAACCAAAAGAAACTGGGAATATTAAAAAAAAGCAAGAGAAATCAGATTAACGTGATGATTACCTGATTTGAGAGGTTTAATCAGGGAGGAGGAGAGAGAAAGAGAGAGAGAGAGATCCGAAGGAAGAAGAGAAGAAAGAGGAGAGGTGAGGGAGAGAGAAGAGAAGAGAGAGACGTCGGTTTCTTGATTCTTATTTCTTTTCGCACTGTGACGGATGATGAACCTTTTCTTTTTTTTTTCTTTTTTTCGCATTTATCGTTTTTATTCTTCTTTAATTTTCCTATTTTTCATTGGTTTCTCTTTTTTCTTACATTAATTTTATTTCGGTTTCTCATTTGTCTTTGTATATTATTAAAAAGATAAAATAGTGTTCCTAATTATAGACCTAAAATTAAAAGACGACGTCATATGTGCTTACTTCATTTTTCATTAATGATTTTGATTAATTAGTAGACACTTTTTTTTATCTCATATGTTTTGGTTTTTACTAGAGCCGATTTGCTTTGTTTTATTTATTACTAGCAGTTGATCCGCGCTCCGCGCGGGAGGTTTATAATTTTGTTTCGTTGTTTTTTTATTCATATTATGATATTTTATTTTTTTTAATTGATTTTCAAAAAATATTATAATTATTTTCTCTTTAATTATTATCTTTCAATACTCAAATTTGGATTAAAAGCACTTGATTCAATTTATGAAATATCATTTTTTTCTTTTTGATCATATATTTCACTTTCATTTTTTTCCTCTTTATAATTTTATATATACAATTACATAAATGTTGTTTTAGTCTACCATAAATTTAAATTTTACTTCCATTCTAAAACTCAGTAACATATTTAAAATATTAAATTATGATCAATTTAAAATGAAAGTTGAATTATATACTAATAAAAATTTAAGTATTGTTTATCTTATTTTAACATTTCATTTTTTACATAATTTATTTTTATTTATATAAACTTTCTATTAATTAAATAAGTAACATAATATGTACTAAATGAATGTTTTAAATTTATTTTGATGTTTAAACAAAAATGTGGCTTAGGTGGATGCTTAGGTGGCATCATGAGAAGAGAGAAAAAGCTAACTTTATATATATAGATGATGATTGATCAAGCATGCCAACCATTAATTAAGAATGATTTATTAGCTATAAGATATGAAAATTTTATTCAATGTAGATATTTTTTTCATTGATATAGAAAGAAAAATAAAATACTAAAAAGGATTTTGTTATTCATTAAATGATCCACATTGAGATGTTTTGTTAATTTTGGTGACTTGTATAAGTTATAAAGTTTTTGAATATATAATATATTCTTTGTATTAGATAGATTTTGAGCAAAGTTATTAAAATTGTTTGGTTTATGTATTTTTGTTGTTCATAACACACAAGCTTTGGGGGAAGTGTCCCCATGTGCTTTCTTTGTTGAACCAGCTTGACACCTAATTATGCCCAATATTAATTTAGAATTTATGGCTACACAACTTTGTGAACTATATCTAAAAACAAAGTATACAACACCACACCACATCATATCCAATGAATTCAACCTCTAATGCGTTGTAGTTTTCTTATTTAAAGATGTGTATTTGTCTTCCTTAAATTTTGTGTTTGTAATTAACTCCGTAAACATCCTTTGTAATTAAATTAGATTAAAAATTAGCTTTATGTTTAAGTTTCCTGAGTTTCTTTAATCTATGTAAAGATAAATAGATAATAATTAGACTTAAATACATAGAAGAAATAACATGATTGCTTATACAATTTGAACGAACAGTAAAAGCATGAGCATATTAACTGGAATCAATGAATCAAACCGAACATAATCAAAATTTTGGTAATTTTTTGGCTACTACATAAGAACCGAACGGTTCTCGGTTTGGTTCGGATAATATTCAAAAAATCGATTTCATTGGAACCAAAGCTTTTTCAAATCTTATTCGGTTTGAATTTTAAATACTCTTAACAAAATTTTAGTTTGTTCATACGTATATGATTATCAAAATTTCATATCCGAAGTACCAGAAAACAAATCCGAAAACCCGAAGGCCAAATCTAATTGTAACGTATAAGTTTGTAACCTACACTTTGAGTTAAGAATATACGTTTGACTTTTTATGTCAAACATATATAAAGTAGAAGAATGAAATCGACATACACTTAAATCTATGATATCGTTCTTAGTGTATCAGATTGACAAGCCAACAATATATATCTCGAAGTCATCGTCGTATGTTTTGTATGATAATCTAATATAATTCTGATATTTAGTCGTACAAAATAACACTAGCCATACACGTAGACGTAGTAAGTGTTGGGGAAATCCCATGTAACTTAATAAAAAAAGATAAGGACGAATTTATAACTAAATCCACAAAAATCTGTTTGGGGTTATTACATTGCTTCCAACTGTAGAGTTTGGATCAGATTCTTTCTACTGTCTTAAACCCACCTAGAGAATATGCTCTTTTTATTCCCCCTATTTGTTTATCGACTGTATTGGTCAGTCAGGTCAGGTTAAAGGATTTGATTGCCACATCAAATAACGAACGGGACACTTAAAATTAAAAAACAAAACGAAAAAATGGAAAAAACAAAAACAAAACGCTTTTGATATGATCACCAATATTTTTACCATACCACCAAATCTATCAGATTATATACAAAACTTCATGCAATACACATATACAAGTACTGAAACAATAACGCCTTTTTTTTTTAATGTAGAATAATTTAAGATTCATATTTAGTAGTAACAAAGATTGGTCGTTTTGTTAGTTTTATAAGCATGAGTTTGTTCCACTATAGGTTTTGATACTTGCGACCGGAGAATTTACTTGTTGGTTCCTTGGAGTTAGGGTTTTCGGATTTTTGCAGCCATCCCACTTCTTTAGGTTTAGTGCAAATAAGCTCCGATTAAAACTCAAATGTAACAGTCTTTCGTGTGTGTGTGTGTGTGTATGAAGTTCATCAACGGCTACTAGTGAATGACCAGCCTTTAGATATTGGGCTGAGTGGATTTGTAGGCCTGTGATGACTATGCATTCAGGCCTTTTCTGGTTGAGGATTTCTAATAAGTTATCTTATGGTGGATCCATTTTGTTTATGCTTTTTAAAATTCGTGTCCATATCTTATACATCGAACGAAAATGTTTCAATATAATCCAAAGTTTTATTTAGGACTTGAATAGAACAAAACCTTTTATGGACCAAACCATTTTTATTTACTATTTACTAATTGTATATGTAGTAGTACGGTCTTAAAAACCAAAAGAAAACCGTTACACACCAAAAACAAATCGTTTTTATGTACAAACAGAATTGATCTATCGTGGTTTGTTGTTTGCTCCAAAAATAGAATAGACTAAACCGTTGACGGATTTATCTATTTCGACTGCGCTAACCATTCGAATCAATAACGTCTGTTTAATCATTAATGTGTTGATCTTTAATATATTTAAAAAATGGAGGCTGGTCCAAATATTTGTTGTGAGTGAAATTTGTAATGAATTCAGAAAAGTAGCTACTTGTTTTGGTTTGTTTTGTACCAATTGGGCTACTTGTTTGGTTTTATAAAAAAAACATATACTTGTGTCTACTTGAGAGATTTGACCTAAAGGCACTGTTTCTTGTCATCTCTGTTAAAAGTGTAAAAAGGTCTGGTGAGTGATTTTGTCTGTTAGTTGAACGTGTTTCTCTTTTTTGTTATGTAATTTGGTAGCAAAAATAGTAATTGTCGCCAAGTTTTTATTGGAAGTTAGCAAAACTATACACTTCATAACAATTTACCCGTAATTAACGGTCTTATGTTATGAACTTAATTATGTCATTAGTAAAACTTTTGACAAAGAAACAAAAGAAGATGTGTAATCTCTTTCAAATTTCACCCAAAAAAAGAAAAGAAAAAGTAGTTAGTAATCCTTTTCAAAGGATGCTTGGCTTAATTAGTACATTAACTATTAAAATATCGTAAGTTGAATAAATATGCATATAGTATTTATTGTTTTGGTCTTACGAGAGATCTCTACAATCAAGAATTGGTTCAATCTCGTTAGTTCCAAGTCATTGCATTTTTTCTTTATATTTAAACCCAACAAACATGATTCAACGTATTTTACGTGTAATGTTAAAAATTAGATTTCTAGGAAAGTCTGCAAAAATCGCAATCAAATCACAAAGGCCTCGATTGATTACCATGATTTAGGAAAAAAATGAGAAGGAATATGACATTCCTCTTCATTCCTCAATTTTTTTACCATTTACAAGGAATCATTTTTCCACATCATTCCTCTACATTCCTCACAAAATGAGGAACAAAAATGTTCCTCCCCAAAATTGATGAGGAACAAATGGAACAAAAAAGAAACAAATGTTAAAATTCGTTTTTTATTTTAAAATAAATAAAAAATTATTTATTAATAATATTTTAATCTCATAATATAATATTTTCATATTTTTATCATGTATTGACATTAAAAAATATTTTTGATATGAATTTCATGTTAAAAAATCTTACTATACATTATTTAAAATTTGTATGGATAGTAAAACATATTTAAGAGATGTTTATATCATAAATAACAAATAAAAATTACTATAATCTATAATAGGTTAATATAAATTATTATTTTTAACATTAAATATTTAAATTCATTCAAAAATATATTTTAAAATTAGTGTCAAATTCATTATATATAAATTATATCTAGTATTATTATTAAAAGTTGATTTATTTAAGCAAATATATTATAAAAGATAGTGTTATTGTTTGGTTACCATTTATTATTTTGTTCTTCTCTGCATGTTTTCTTTTCATTCTTCAAAAGTTGTTTATTCCGTTCCGTATTGTTCTTTTTGTTCTTTTTCCTTTTGTTCCTCTAATGGTTACCAGTAGAAACAAAATTATTATGTTCTTTCTTTTGGAAAATAAAAATATTTATCATTAAAATATTGACTATTGTAATGTTTTTTCCACTGTTTTTGCTCATCTCCTTTTCTTAGATCATAATGATGAATTTTTCTTGCCCAAAAAAAAAGAAAGAAGAACATCATCATCACATAAACAGAGGAATCTCATTATTTCAGGAGGATTCAGAAGAAGAGAAAAAGACACAAAAGAGATCAAGATAAGAATCATATGTACGGGATACTAGTGTTACAAAGAAACACAAGTTTATTAGTGTCTGAAACAAAATCTAGCACTCTTGTCGGACATTAGTAGCTACGGCTCGAGCCCAGAACTTGATCTGATCTTTCATTTCTTTTCTTGAATCCTTTGGAACCTTAGGCGGTGTAGCCTGTCCGTTTGTGACACGTGGCTCGGCCAGTTGTCCATCGTAATCTTTCAGCCTCTGAATCTCTTTGGTTGTCTCTATGCTGCTTAACGTCTTACGCAGCGTTTTGGGACTTGAGCTTCCTTGTTTGACCATAACAGTGTCTTCTGATCTCAAGCTTCTTGGTGGTCTCTGCCTTTGATTGCTTGAAGCCTGCACCAAAATTCAAACTTTAATATGTTTTTCAACTTCTCAAAAAACCTTTCCTGTTAAGAGAATTAATCATTTCATACCTTTGAGACATTATGTGAGCTAGCGAGGGCTTCACGGATCAAGAATCCCATTCTTGAGTCGCTTTCTTGATCTTCAAACTCGTCCTCCTCGTTATCTTCTTCTATTTTCATGCTATTTGGCAGCGTTTGAGTTCTTTGCAAACAAATCTTGGCACTACTTTTACTACTACTACTACTACTACTTCTTGTTTTGTTCCTTTCACTAATCCATTTGTCGCGTACCATAGTTTCCTTCTTCTGCAAGAAAAGCTCACCAGACTTGTTTGGTTCTAGTACCCTAATCTTCTCAGAGAACTGCCTTGTCAGCTTATTGATCATCTTCTTTGCCTCGTGGTCCACCTCTCTTTTATCTATCTGAGGCGGCAAAGAAGGTGCTCGGATCAAACCACGTTTTGTGGAAGCTTCTTGAATCTTCCCCGGAGCCGAACGAGATCCAGATTTAGGAAGGACCATATGTTCCTTATTCTGCAAGGAAGAGCCAAGTTGTCTCGGTTCTTGAACCCTAATGTTTTCAGAGGACTGTCTCCTCAGCTTCATCTGATCAGATCCGCTATCTCTACTATCTACAGAAGGTGCCCTGATTAAAGATGCTTCGAGAGCCTTACAAGAATCTGAATCTCCCATTTCTCCCGCAGAAGTCGAAGTAGTAGTAGAAGAAGAAGGGTAAGGATCTGAGTGACAATACCTCAAACCTCCTGATCTCCTCGTGAATAAGTTCTCAAAGAACCAGTACTCTTCAAGAAGATCATCAATAAGTAAATCACTTGAACTACTTACACGATCCATGTCCTTTTCAGACAATAACAGATTACAGAAGAAGGAAAAAGGAAGTTAAAAAGAAGAAGACAAGAAGAGACCGAGACTCTAAAAAGAGAGAAGTCGTGTGTCTTATAACAAAGATTGGGTTTTCTGTTTTTCCAAAGTGGGTGTGTTTTGTTTTGTTGGAGTTTTGTTCATATCTGTGTTGTTTAGTAGACATCCAATGTATTTGAAGCATCGATTCTGGAGTTTTATATGGAAGTGACCACATGGGCAGCCTTTCTTCAATTATTAATCTTTTTTTTATATATAATAATATCTTTGTGGAGTGAATATATTGGGTTTTGAATATAATATTTTAAGGATTTTCCAGGTAAAAACAATAATAATGCTGAAATTGGAACTTATTACAGAATAAAATAGTTACAAGTTACAAGAATAGATAGAGCTATAAAAGTCAACTAAATAGATAGAGTATAATAGTTGTGTATATGTTAAAAGTTATGTGAAAATATAGGTATCTAAAAGTGAATAACCAGTAAAATACATTATTTTGGCAACAACTATAAAGGGAAGAAAAAAGAGGTTCAACAAAGCTATGATTGCTTTTAAGAGATGTCATAATAATTAATCAATGTCAGAATAGTCCACAAGCCATGTGATTTCTCTGTTTATATACATATTAGTATAACCCTTAGTACGTAGTGTAATCATAATAAAACCACGTATTTGGAGAATAAATACAAAAGATTAGTATTCAAAGTATCATAATCAGTATTACAGTATAGATTAGAAAAGAACAGAAACAAAAAAAAACAATAATCACGAGTTTTGTAGAGATCATCAAAAAGCCGTAATGTTTATTATGTATGTGCATGACAAGTGGTTCAATTACTGATAAGAACGAACGAATGATGAGTCGTTTGAATAAATGAATATAGTATAATGGATTTGATTGTTGATTGTTTTATTTATGTATGTAATCACGTGGATATGATTATAAAGTGATGTGGCCAATTCAAGATATTCATATATATTTTGGTCAATTTTTCACATTTTATTTTTGTTCTTCGTAGTAGTTTATACTTATTATACACGTAATCTTATATTTTTATTTTGAAGTTATAATTTTTAGTTCTTTATGAAATTTTTTTAGAAGAATGTTTCATAATAATTCTCTACTTGTTACGTATAAGTTCTAACAAGATAAAAAGATGCTAACTGTAATAAGGATAGTAATTAAAACACGTAAGCAGGAAATAATTATAATTATAAGATTGTGTATATTAATGTCACATTGACACTCCAAGAAGGAAAATATTTATTTGTGGCTTTTGCGTAATTATATAAACACACGAGGATCTTAAATGGAAATAAAGGGAAAAAACGGATTCTTGTATTTTTTTTTTTTGTTTGTTGGCGTTGAGTCGTATCGTCGTCCTTAGCCAGATCTGCTTCTTTTTCGCTGCGTCGTCGAGGTCTCATTTGGGTCAGCAACAACAACAACAACAAGAAGAAGAAGAAGAAGAAGAAGAGGGAAGCTATTCCTAGATTCACCATACGTGTAAGTCTTTTGAATCTCCATCTTCTTCCATAAACTTCTATAATGCTTTTGATCTTCGACATTTTTTCTCGTTCCGATTGATTCTTAGATTCTCTTCTCTCTCTCGTTCGCACCTTCTTCTCGTTGATTTAATGCTGCTTTCCAAGAATTTTCGATTAGTTTTTGGGAACGATTCAGTTCAGATTCCAGATCTAATTTTCGCGATTTCGTAATTAGTTTGTGTCTAGGGTTTTTGGATTCACTAGCGAGATTATTAAGCTAAGCTTCATTTCTGCAAAACACTTGGAGAGATCGAAGCTATTCTTCATTTCTTGGGTCTTATAAGTAAGATTTCTGATTTCGTGCGAAATGTTGTGGTTTCATGTTCTGGGAGACTCTTCTTTGGTACATCTGATAATGTGATAGATTAGTGTAAACTTCAACTTTATTACAGTATTATCCGCTGCATCCAGGGGATCATTGCTCTGTTATAATCTGAAGATGTAATGTGACGGAGTTGTGTTCTTACTCATTTTCTAGGTTTCAAGAATCACAATGGATGGAAGCGGTGGTGACAGTGGTTCGATTGCTACACCTGTGCAAAAGAAGGCACATGACGCATGGAGGGTTTACCAATATTATCTTGACAAGACTACTCCTCATTCAACTTATAGGTGGATCGGAACACTTGTTGTCTTTCTTATCTACTGTTTGAGGGTTTACTCTATTCAGGGATTCTACATCATCTCCTATGGTCTTGGGATCTATCTCCTCAATCTGCTTATCGGATTCCTGTCCCCTCTTGTTGACCCTGAGCTCGAGGTCTCTGATGGAGCTACTCTGCCTACTCGAGGTTCTGATGAGTTTAAGCCATTTATCCGCCGACTGCCTGAGTTCAAATTCTGGTAATTACCCTATACCGCAAAGTTCCTAACTCTGATTATGCAATCAGTACCATCAATTTGGGATTATATTCATTAAATATCCTCTTCTTCTTGATAAGTAAAATATAAAATTCTATTAGTATTCAGGCGCTTCATCATATGCCATTTTGTCCTAACGAAGTATGTTGTTATTGCTATGATATGAGCATTCAGTATGTCGTAATCATGTTGTGATGCTATTGTAGTTTAGATATAATTGCTGAGTTTTTGTCTCCCTAATACCTTCCTGAATGATAACTTCTGGGAAGAAAACACATCGTCTTTTTCAATAACTACACACATAAAATACACAGTATCCTCCCTTTTGTGACAATGGGATTGTATCTGTGGCAGGTACTCCATGACTAAGGCATTCTGCATAGCCTTTCTCATGACATTCTTCTCAGTCTTTGACGTTCCTGTCTTCTGGCCCATATTGCTTTGCTACTGGGTTGTTCTCTTTGTCCTCACCATGAGACGCCAAATCGCGCACATGATTAAGCACAAGTACATTCCATTCAGCATCGGAAAACAGGTACCCGTTTTTCACAACTTTGATTTAGTCATTTGAATTCTCTTACTTTTGTTGAGTGTACTGATACCAACTGCTCACGTCTCTGCAAAGTCACGCACATCCTGTAATTTGGTTAGTAGCTAACATATCGCTCACATATGATCTGTGGTGCAGAAATATAGCGGAAAGAGATCTTCTGCGAGCAACGGGGGCGGCTCTCGAGCTGATTGATTTCTGCATCCACATTTTCTGCAGAAACAAGTGTGGGTTGGAAACCATAGTGGAATGTTTTGTAGTGAGATGATTTTAATCAAATTGCCAGTATGGTGTTATGCAGCTTTCAAGGAAGAAGAAGGAAACAAAAAAAACAAAGGAAAGTGTGATTTAGTTTTTATGTTGCAGGAAAATTGTTATTTTTGTTAGTTCCCTTTAATCCCTACGTACACCTCTCTTCTGTAAATATGATTCATTCTCTCTTTTCCCCCATTTTTTAAAAACCTTTCCATTTTATCTCTCTATCTATTTGGTAATTTCTTGCAATTTACTTATAATACAAAGAGGTATCAACTACTATCGGGGTTCTATAGGCATTATGCACCGGACCGGTTATTCATATACGAAGTGAGTTTAATTAATTTAGGGCTAACTTTCTTCACGGACAGAACAGGTTAAATCGATTTGGGAGAAAATAAAACTCCTTAGTTTCTTTAAATCGAAATTAGAGAATTTTCCTCGGGTTTTTTGGGGGATTTCCTTGGCTTTCCTTCAATTTATTTCCTTGTTCTTCATGGCTTCATCACATCAATCCCAATAAAAGTTTTGGTATATACTAGTTCATACCAAAATTGTCAAGGGAAGGTCTCTCAATAAGTTGCCAATTTTTTTTGCTAGAATAATAAGCAAAATAAAAAAAACCAAGCTAGACTAATAAGAAAAATAAAAAAAAACCAAACTAGACTAATAAGAAGAAAAAAAAAAATTGTCAACCACAAGATTAGATTAAGAAACCAATCTTAAAATCTAAACCAGTACTTGTTTTTTTTTGTTTTTTTACCCATTGATCAATATTTGATTAGGACATGACTATTTAGAGTTGTAAGTGTTGAATGTTGTACATAACACAAAATAATTCGAGAGCTACAATAATATTTAGCCAATCATGCTCAAAGTTTCTTTTAGAGTTTGGGGGTGATTGGTAAAATCGGTTTTAAAACCTGTGAAGAATTTACTTAACATGTAAAATTTACATAATTAATGTCGAAATAAAACTTGTGAAACCACAAACATATCTTAATTAAAGCCATATTTAATTTTTATTAAAACCAAGTTAATTAACCGAATTGTTTGTACTTCTCTCCGAGACAAAATATCAATCTCGTACGTAGTTGTTAAAATTTAATCATTTTTTTTTTAACAGCTGACTTTGTAAAATTTAATTATTTTTCTTGTGGAAAAAACAAAAGAATTGCGCGTGAGAGAAAGAGTTAGGAACGCGTTCGTTTTTGTGAAATTTTAAATTATAAACGCGTTTTTGGTTGCTAAATTAGTGGTCATATAAAGTCTTCTGGCCAAGTAAACATCACATTACACTCAGTCTACACAAAACAATACACATCAGTACATCACACCACGCACACATATATTCAGCTTCCATTATATAATGAAAGTCCAAGAAGCAGTCGACAAAAACAAAAAAAAGACCAAGAAGCAGTCGACAAAAACAAAAAAGACCAAGAAGCTTAACACCACTTGAGACGATAAGATCATTCTTCTTACTTTTTTCTTGACAAAATTAAGATGCAGCCTATCTTCCATGCGATCCTTCAGAATGACCTTTCAGCTTTTCTTGGTTTGGTGGAAGAGAGAGCATCGTCACTGGATGATAGAAGCGAGGAGCAAAACACGAACAACACGGTTTTGCACATGGCCGCGAAGCTTGGTCACCAAGAACTCGTCTCCAAGATTATTGAGCTCCGACCGGACCTCCTCTGTTCCCGTAACGCACACGGAGACACACCTCTGCATCTTGCTGCTCTTCTTGGAGACGTAAACATAGTTACGCAGATGCTAGACAGTGGATTGGAACTTTGTTCCGCACGCAACAACAAAAACCAAACACCCCTCCACTTAGCTTCTCTAAGTATTTTCATGGAGGCCGCTAGACTCATCGTGGAAAAGACGTATTCAGTCGACCTAGATGAACTCAATTTCGCCTTATCAAGTGGATCTACTTGTAAGTTTATAGTATAAACTCAACATGCTTTCGTAATCTTGTATAAACTCAATGTCTCACTACTGTGTTGTTGTGATCACTGTTAGGTATTGTTGGGATTATAGTGGAGAGATTTCCACAGCTAGCTAGAAAAAGAGCTTGGGTGGTGGAAGGCTGCTCGCCATCAACGCTACTGCATCATGCATGTGACAAAGGGGACATTGAACTGACAAGTATATTACTAGGGGTCGGTCATAGACTAGAAGAAGCTCTTAACACAGAAGGCTTCTCACCTCTGCATCTGGCAGTCCGAAGAGGCTCGGTTCTAATCCTGAAGGAGTTTGTCCTAAAGGCTCCATTTAGTTTCGAAATTCTCACGCCGTCAAAAGAGACAGTCTTTCATCTAGCTGCACGAAACAAAACTATAGATGCTTTTGTTTTCATGGCGGAGAGTTTGGGCATTAACACCCGAATTCATATGAAGAAGAAAGATCAACATGACAACACTGTCTTACATATTGCTGCTTCCGTGGCTTGTTGTGCTCCGGTGAGTAGTTTTCTTTGTCCCTAGCTCTCTCCTCTTTATTCCCAAAGTACTTTTTAGTTACTTGCCATATACTCTATGTGTGTGTGTGTGGCGTTTCTTCTAATATATTCCTATTGAATATATATATATATATATATTTTTTCTTTTTTTTTGAATGAATGTAAAAATATATTCAAAACAAAAAAGTTCCTTTGTACATCAAGTGCGTCCTTATATCAAAGCATCAAAAACATAAGTTGAAAGAGCAACAAAGGAATTTAAAGAAAGAAGTGAAGATGCTTAGCTACGGGTAGCTAACCAAAGTCGTAAACCATCACCATACTTGGTCGTGTTTGCTTGCATTGACAGCAGCTTATTGCGGATCGTGCGATCGAGGAAGCGGGTAAGCTGGTCAGTGGTACTTGGCGTGTTGCCGTGCCGGCGTCGGTTTCGCTCCATCCAAAGCGTGTGAACCGTTGCCTGGAAGACTAGTCGAAGTAGAAAACATCAGAGAATATATTGAATATATTGCAGCTTATACGTTACATTGTTGATAAGAAGCTAATAAATATCAGAGCAAGGAACAAAACGGGTCATCGAGCTTCCGACCTTGTCCCTCTAGACGCCAAAGACTTTGAGTTCATATCAAGCTGCCTGAGGTGTGATGACACCAAGACGTCGGAAGAACTGGATTCTGAGAAGGCTGAGAACAATCAATATTACAGAGGTCGCTCTAATTATCCATTACATAATACTCAAAGACGCTCTCATGAAAAGAAGGTAATACAGTTGCTTGAGTTAATCGGAACAAGCATATCAGAGATAGGAGGGAGGAGACAGAAAAGCAAGAAACATAAAGTTAAAAATGTTCGTAAGAGCTTGGAACATGAGATGCATATAGAAGCATTACAAAATGCAAGAAACACCATTGCGATAGTAGCAGTCCTGATTGCTTCAGTTTCTTATGCCGGTGGAATAAACCCTCCAGGCGGCGTCTACCAAGATGGACCATGGAGAGGGAAAGCTATCGCAGGCAATACGGCAGCGTTCAAAGTCTTTGCAATATGTAACAACGTGGCACTGTTCACGTCGCTGTGCATTGTTATTCTTCTCGTTAGCATCATACCTTACCAGTGGAAACCCTTGAAAAATTTATTAGTGGCCACGCATAGGATGATGTGGGTTTCTGTAGGGTTCATGGCGACGGCCTATGTTGCGGCATCTTGGGTGACCATACCGCATTTACCGGGAACACGATGGTTGTTTCCGGCTATGGTATCCGTTGCTGGTGGATCTCTGACAGTACTCTTTTCCTATCTAGGAGTTGAGACCATCGGTCATTGGTTTAAGAAGATGAATCGTGTTTCTTTTAACAAGAACGACAGCCGTGTCAGAGATATAGATGATGATCCCGTTACAAGGACTAGCTCATATCATGATGAAATGCCTACCAACGCAGACTTCGTCGCCTCCCAAGGATCAGGCTATTATACCTATTGAATCTTTGGATATACTAGCCCGCGTGTATTTTGTTTTTAAAATATTTTTAGACTTAATAATATACATATTTTGATTCTCTTGCTCGTTTTAAAATATTACTCTATCTCATTTTCCCAGATATCTGGATTTGGAATAGGGTTAGTTAAAAGTATGTGCTCAAATAAATGGAAAACAAAAAGAAAGGAATTGATAAATTAAAATTAGTTTTTTCAATAGGAGAGAGAGGAGAAAATACGTGGCTATCCCTATATCAATTTAGTTGCAAGTTAATCATTTAATGAGATTTGACAAGATCCAATTGTGCAGAGGCACCAATGATGATGCGCTATATAGATTATTATCGGATAACTAAGTTGCATATATAGATTGTTATCAGGTAACTAGATTGTTATCTAATATGGTTATCTGATAATTAGGTCGTTATCAATTATGTTATCGGATAACTAGATTGTTATCAAATAATGAAATTCTTATAAAACGATAGTAAAGTATAAAACTCAACAAAACTGCAACACAACTGAATCCCTAAATATGATACATTTAGATAAGGGATAACACATTAATTAGTATAATATTTTTGTTAATATGTGTGGATGTTATCGGATAACAAAAAAGGTTATATGCTTAGGTGAGAGATAAAGAGAGAGAGAAAGATATAAGAGGAGATGAGAATCGATGTTTATTTGTTTATATAAGTGATAAATAGGGGTAAAACGTATGGAAAAAGAGAACTAAATATTGAATTATGGATGTTAGATATTTAACTAATTGGTCAACTGAGGCTACCAAATGTAAATACCCTTCGAAATATATTTTTGTAAACAACTTTTCTCGTGTCTGGACTACCAATCATGAAGTAATATTTTAATACATGTGGTTGTAAAAAAAAAAATATATATACATCTTTTTAGTTATATTATTTGCAGTACTACTCCCTCTCTTCCTTATTAATACATTTTCTAGAAAATAGTTTTGTTTCACAAAGATATGTTTTTAAAAATGTTTTATATGTAATATTAATTAGTTATTATTGATAATTTGTAAACTTCAAGAAAAACAATTGAATATAAAGTAAAAGCAATAACCTCATATGTTTGATCCATATGTAAGTTAAGACGCTCAACAAACTTTATAGAGGAATATATTAAGAATTAAGTTTTTTAAATTCCAAAATATCCTAGAAATGTTTAGATGATCATTTCCTTAATTTTAGACCAAAATTTTTTTAAAATAAAACTTTCTATGTTGATGATTATGTTTATATTAATTATGAAACAGAATTATAAAGTGTCATTTTGATATATATAAAAAACTTACAAAAATCTTAATATAAAAAAATTATCATAATTTCAAAAAATTTGAATTTTTTATAGTATTGATTGTCTAGAGGACGTAAACTGGTACCACCTAGTAGTATGTTGTGTCTTTTTAAGTAAAAGTCCAAAGAATAATTTCATATATAAATTATGTTTTACATTATTAAGTGGATCGATCGATTTATCTCAATACCGGCCCCCATTTCATCTTCTTAAGTTTGAGCCCAGTTCACGTGTTGTCACTCCACCTTTTCTTCGAGGCATATCATCAGTACCCACACTAAGAAAGAAGGTTGAAGAGAGTTCAACAAGATATAGGCGTTTACAATAAAGCCAAAACATCAGAATCCCTAACACGTATATGTTATGTAGACGGACGGCAGATCACAATCACATGTAATGTTGCCCTAATTCTCCAAAGATTTTTTCACATTATCCCATTTTCCAAGTTTACGTGTTTATTATATATTATGTGTTTGTAAAATAAAAAACGTACGTGTACACTTTATTCTTTGTAACGTCTCTTGGCTCATGGATAGATGATGCTATAGAAGCTTCGAACATGCAGAGTTGCAGAGACTTTTAGCACACTTGCATGTCTGTCTAGCGATCGATAGGTTGAGTGAAAAAATATATAAACCTACCCCCAAATCTGTCTTTGTGAAACACGTGGTGTTGGTCATCACACAGATTCTTTTGTTTGATTGTCTCATACTCATATCCCACTTGCTTTATTTTATGGATTAGGAAAAGGAATTAACGACTTTGGTCATACATATAAATCAAGTCATGTACTAGTAAATAAATAAACGAAAAAAAGAGCTTTTTAGAATTCAACGAGAGCTAGGATCGTTAATTAAATAAATAACATAAAGACTAATGATGATAACGATGTTTATTAAAAATTTCTGTAAAATTAGTACAAAAAGAAGATATATAATGTGTGGGCAGAAACAAAAGATATATATAAAAAACCCAAATCCATTAATCAAGGCGTCAAGACAGAAGTGTAGGTGTTTAAGTGTCGACTGTATTGACTAAGTCGTTAAGAAAAAGAAAAAGAAAATGAAATAATTAAATGACCACCTCTAAGTCAGTCACGGTCTTGGTCTCCTCCTGCCGTCAAAATTTTAATTCCGTCATTACGTAACTCATCAGAGAGGAATTAAAACAAAAAAAAAGGACTTGACGGTTGGCCCACCGCCGTTAAATTTGCGGTTAACCGACGACGCGCCTGTCATCCCTTAAATCTGATTCCACGTGTCTTTGTTTATCCACGTGGCATGAGAGAATCCAAAAAAATAATAATAAGAAGGGCGGCTGATTTAGCTTATGTCACTGATGGCATGAGTCAACAACAATAACGCTCTTTTTTTTTATAGTCGAAACGGCTTCGTTCTGACGTGAGCGTCACGCGTTTCTCATTAAAACGCGGTTCCTGAGCCGCGCGTCCACGTGATTGCGCCACGTTTCCGAATAATATTACTCTCTTTGAATGTGCCGCTGCTTTCTCTTTTTTTTTTTTTTTGGTTGTCTCGTAAATAAAAATTTCCAGATTCTGATGCCAATATCTGCGTTTCTTTTATCAAAGCTTTTTAGTTATTTGTTGTTCTTTTGCTAAATTTATAATCTTTAGAAGAAAACAAAAAAAAAAAACATAAATCGATTGTGGCGTGTAAAGATCGTCTAGGACAAATGTTCTCTCTCAAGATGCGTAATGGAGAAATGTGCGTAAGAGTTTGGGGAAGGCGTCATTGGCAAAGTGCATTGAACTCATTACTCTTTTCATAAGAACAAATCAGCAAATATATGAATATTGTGTTTGCTAATTTCTACAAGAAAGTGAAGTGTTATTAGAGTGAAGGCCATCATAAGTCAAGGGGTTTTAGCCCATAATGAAATTGACACAAAAAACAAATATGAACGATGCTTATGCCTGAATAAAATGGTCTTTGTGGGTTTAAAGAAACTTGGATAATGTGAACAAACAGATCAATTTCATTGAGGGTTTCGGACATGAAAAGTACTTAATTAAAGTGGAAAAAGATACACAAATTAAATCAATAGATTATGCCGTGTCCTGTTTTAGACTCTCTAAACATTAACAACCAACTTAATCGATGCAATAGCTAAGTTCTAATAGTGATACCCAAGGCCGACATTGATTTGCCTAAAAAATTGAAAAGGTAATTAAACTAAAGAAAAAGAGGTATATATGGGGTTAAATTATTAAACAATTATGTTAATTAGTTTATTTCTCATATCCGCTAGTCGTTAGAGCCATAAACTGAAGTTACTATAGGGATGAACACTCCATCTCCATCATTTGGGTGTTAGACCACCATTATTGATAGTATTTTACCCAAATCTTGAAAAAAAAAAAAAGATCTTAACCAATAATATTGCTCTAAGAATTTTCTATATCCGAAATATATAAATGTGAGTTTCTTTTCCTAATTCTTTGATAATTGATTTCTAAAACATATTATTAAACATGTTTACTCTGAATAAATCTGAGGACATTCAGTTTAGTTTAGTTTTTTTTTTAAAAAAATCGCGTGAAGTGAGAATATATAATATTTTCGTGCGCCTATTTGATTAATTTAATTACTTCGCTATCAAAACTAAATGGGTAACTCAATAAATGGCATAGAACAGTTTGCTAAACTGAAAAAAAATATGGCTAATATGTTCGAAAATATTCATTTTTACCAAATAGACACGTAAATAGTAGTTTTGCATCTTTCTTTGCTAGCACGGTATTAAGATTTATTGAAATTAAAATTTCATATTTTTGTTTGATAATAATTACCTTTTACTATGTAGGCATGCATAAGTAGATCTTTTTTTGGTCGGAACAAAGTCAACATATATAACGGTATACTAAACTACAATCCAGCAAATTTGTTCGGTAATATACCTTTTTACCAGATAGATATATGCCAATTAAAATTTATATGTTTTTGTTGTTATAGTAACGTAATATATAACGACCCGCTAAATTACAAACTTCATATATTTGTGTGGGATTATATATTTTTTTTACCAATTAGAGAAGCAAATTTTTTTGTTGCCGCAATAAAGACATAATAACGGCCCACTAATCTACAAATCTGAAAATTTTGTTTGACAAATTTTTTTTATACAAATAACATATATAACGGTAAAGTAAATAACAATTCGACAAAATCTTTCAGTAATATACTCCTCTACCAAATATATATTACATGTTATAGTAATAACGAACAACTAAATTAGAAATTTCAGATATTTGTGTTCGATAATATTAAATTTAACCAATTAAACAAGCAAATTATATATTTTTTCATCATCATGACGATATAATAATGGTCCACTAATCTACAAATCCATATATTTTGTTCGACAATTTTTTTTTTACTTTTTTGTAAAATTACATATATAACCGTAGATTAAACTTCACACGGACAAAATTTATTTAGTAATATATTCTTTTTACCAAATTGGCATGCAAGCTCAGTAATATTTAATTTTCTCAACCAAATAATAATTTTTTATAGACACCATAACAACGTAATAACGGTTCACTAATCTTAAAATCCAAAAAAATTGTTTTTTTCAAAATAACATGTAAATGATAATTATCTCCTTTTTATATTGATATGGTTAAAACAAATATAACAGTCCAGTATAATTTTTTCAATAATATTCATTTTTCTTTTGCTAGATATGCAATGTAATAAGATATATACTTATATCGACACCAATGAAGACATAAAAACCTCACAGTATGGTGTTAATATTGTGGTTGTGTCATCATCTCAGTTTAAACACGCATATTAGAAAAATAATCGAAAATTTATAAATGACCATATCTGTTTATATTATAGAGTTAATTCATATATACAAACATAATTTAAAGATGTACGTAACAGCAATATATAAAATGAAACATGACCAAATTTGTATGATATATATCTCTATTCAAGTATCCCATTAATATCCCATTAACATATAGCCCAGTAAGTTTAATTCAAAAATCAGTAAAAATATGAGTTTGTACATCATACATTGTTGAACGTATTAGTATCCCATTAACATATAGCCCAGTAACTTTGATTTAAAAATCAGTAAAAATATGAGTTTGTACATCATACATTGTTGAACGTATTGTAATGTGTGCAGTCGTTGATTCAACGAAAGGGTAAAAATAAGATTCTTTGCAAGAGGAGAACTGAACACGTGGCCAAAACTAAGTGGATATATAAACAAAAACAGGTTTTAAATAAAAAATAATGTGTTGGGTTTGACTGTTCACAAGAAAGCTCCCTAAAAGGAGCGTTGCTTTGGTTAAGTCTCTCTCTCTCTCTCTCTCTCTCTCGGCTCAGCCTCCTTTACTATAAAAAGAAGAAAGGCTTCTCTTCTCATTACCACAAGACTCTCTTCTCACCGATCTTCTCGTTTTCATTCATTTCGATCCATGACGAAACCCGACCCGACTCGTGAGAGTAATGCCGCCAAAGAGATTCGTTACAGAGGCGTCAGGAAACGCCCCTGGGGGAGGTACGCCGCCGAGATCCGAGATCCCGTCAAGAAAACTCGTGTCTGGCTCGGCACCTTCGACACGGCTCAGCAGGCGGCGCGTGCTTACGACTCGGCCGCGCGTGAGTTTCGTGGCTCTAAAGCTAAGACCAATTTCCCCACGTTTCTTGAGCTCCACGGGGACGTCAAACAGGAAGGTGCTTTCGTTGCCAGTCCTTGTCAGAGTAGCACTGTCGTCAACTCGTCCTCTCCCAAGACGGTGAGGTTTGTCACACCGCCGCAGCTCGAACTCAGCTTGGGCTGCGGTGGCGCGTACCGTAGGATTCCTGTTGCACGTCCTGTTTACTACTTCAACGTAACGACGACGACGGCGGCGTTTCCTAAGGTGGCGGTGGCGTGTGGTATCCAGAGCGAGTCAGAAACGTCTTCGGTCGTTGATTTCGAAGGTGGAGCTGGGAAGATAACTCAGCCGTTAGATCTGGATCTTAACCTAGCTCCTCCGGCGGAATAGGCCGTGAGTTTTTTTTCTTTTTCTTTCTTTCTTTATATATGTCGTCGTTTCTTTAGAGAGTAAAATAACGTTTTTTTTTCTGCCTTAGGAAAAAAAAATTATATTATCCGTTTTTTAGAAGAAAGTGGAGAAAAAAGCTAAAATATAATTTTTAGCTGACATGGGAAAAAAGGTCGTTATGTATATAGTATTATGAAATGAAACCCTACTAATATAAGAAAAATCAACGTAACATAAGATCTGAATCTTTTCATATTTATGTTTTTTGTTCGGCAACTGATTTCTCAAATCCAAATCGAAGTATCCTTATTTTTATAAGTATGAAAGACCTATCATATTCAAGAATACGTTTTAATAAATAAGATAAATTATAATAGTGCTCTTTTTGGGGTGTGTGTAGAAGATTTTTTAATATAGTATTTGGTTATTACAAAACTTACAATAATTATTAAAGAGCATCGTCGGCGTCGTCGGCTGGAAAAGACAATGGTCCAAGTGTCGTGAACACACGCACCAATCGTGGGAGGACCTGACCCATCTCTGGCTGCGGCGTACGTTAGTTAGAAGGATACTTCTTTACGCTTACGTCAGTTTCACAGTTTGGACTGCTTTTTTTTTTATTTTTTACTTTTGACTTGTTTGTGTTTTGTGTTTGCATCAAACCTTTTACTTTAACTCCAATGACTAATTGCGAGCATTAAGTTAATAATATTCGATTTGAAGAAATGGTTTAAAGTGAGAGGTCTAAAAGGATAAGAAGGCGGCTTCATAATGAGAGACAAAGGAAGGGATGAGATTTGATTCTTTGTCTGTCGCCAACTTTGTGATCAAAACGTATAAAACAGTTTTAAAAGCACTATCTTCTATATTCGTCTCGGATCCAACGGGTTGAGGAGCCGTCATCGTCACCACGTGGACGGATGTAGTAACTCTTTTAAGTACTCATTCATGATCTCTCCTTTTTTGGGATAGTGAAGATATGAAATTTTGGGGCACGGACGGCGAACATGGACCCATAATGACCAGTTGTCAGTTGATATATATATTTTTTTGCTATTGGATATGTTATTATATAGTATTAGCTATTATTATATGTTGTGATTTTACGTTACGTAGAACGGCTTTTGGATTGATGCGTTTGGGGTCTTTGGTGCTTTGTTAATAAAAACTTCCATCAAAAACGACGGATACTATCGGGATGTGCGGCGAGTTAAAATTCCAAAAACCTATTCACTCATGAAATTCCAAAGCAGTTGACGCCTGCATGCAGGAATCTTTAACATATGGGCAAAAGTTCAGCTTAATCTTTGGTAGCTTTTTTGTTTTTACTTCTTTTCGTTTTTAGCAACTTATGTATTAAAAGAACAGCTAGCTAGTAAGAATTCAAGTAGCTTTGATTCCATTTGCATTTGCTAGTTTACTTGTTATAAGTTATCGGGACTTTTTACAAACATGGAATATATTTATGACGTTTTATCTATCATCAATCAATCTTAAAATAGTATTACTGTATTATAGAAAGCAAAAATAGAATAATAATATGGTTTTTAATTCAAAGAAAAAATAGGAGCGATAGATGCATGCATGCGGCTTAGAATCAGAAACGTGTTTTAGGGCAATTAATTTATAAGGGGATGTAAGTATTTTGTTATTTGACGAGGTGTTATGTTAATTAATGTCAGGGGCTCTAAAAACTGAACAGTTTCAATTTAGCCATTACCTTATCAATACGGGCATTTAGCCCCCATACAAACCAAATTACACTCATGTCATCATGTAAATCAATCACACTGGTGTGGACTGTGGAGTGTGGAGTATGGTGATGGGGTAAACCCGCACAACTCTGCATCTTTCGTATAACATTTTTGCACACCACTCCCATAAATAGATGTTTTTGTTTTGTTTTCAACCAATTTGCCACTATTAACACGTTAACAAATTTAATGTTGGAGGCAACCAACCAGCCAGCCATACACATATATACTAGAATCCGAAAGACCGATCCACGTGTGGCTTGGTCACTCATCAGGAATAATGCTGGAGACACGTGGGTGCTGGTCATCGTATACGTGAAGGTGATTGACAGTAACTCCAAGCACGTCGGCTGCGATGAGCTGACGGTAACCCTCCCCTGGCTGGAATAGTACATACACTCTCTGCTGGGGTCTCATGGTTGGCGCAGTGTTTGAGCCACGTGGTTGATAACGGCGTTTTCACTAAACTCCGTTTTTGAGATTATATATGTGACTGTGACTATATATTTCTTATTATTATTACACTATGATTTTAGTAGAAAAAAAAGAAAAAAAATGGGTGACTCGAGGTCTCTTCGTTGTTTGACCATCATGTCTCCGACCAAAAAGGGACCACACTTACTCAACTACGTTTATTGGATAGTACATTGTATAATTCACCCACATAGTGATAACGTGTCCATTTTCAAATGCATTTAGACAGAAAACATTAAGATGGTTAATTTAATTAAGTGTGTATATATACAGAACAAGTAAAATATAAAAATATTCATATTTGATAAATTAGTAAATAAACTGATCTCAAAATGGACCCATGCAAAAATAAACAAAATTCAATTTATATTCTTTTTTCTACATATATATGTAACATGTTCATTCAAATTCTTGATTACGTACGCGTAATGTATTACCCGACTTCTACATTTCTGGATACTACTCTTAAGGGAAATGACGCTGAATCTGATTTGATTTGCATATATATCCACACACAGTCGTGACGGTGAGGCCATGCATCTAATAACACAAGTCATTTGCCCTAATACTGAGAAAAACTTTTGAACTATATATCACCGGCGAGTTTCCCGTGTCAAACCACCTAACTGAAACTGTAAGTTAAAGAACGTGGATCTAGAAGACTGATTTGGTGTAGCTGCATCTGCATTATCATCTTTCTTTATTTGGTGAATGGTGAGTCCATTGGAAGAGTGAGAGCTGGAGGTGTATTCTTCTTCGGTGCTAGAGGTAAGAGGTCTGCTTAGCCATCTAAACCAAGACCGAGCTACTGATCCTGCAACTTGAGGATATGTTTGATTCACTTTCACTACAGGTTAATCATGGTTATAACTCTAGTCTGATTCATGAACTTGTTCATATTTTTTTGCTTTCTGGTTAAGGTTCCATGTGATAAGTGGTTGACCCATCATTTGTGTCTGTTTTAAACGTATATTAAAAAAAAAAAAATCATTTGATAGATAGCAGATAGTATCATAATAATGATTTCGATTGGTTATTTGTTATATGAGAGAGTTAAGAGAAAGAAACAAAACTAATGAGTTTACGAATGAAATGGTAAAAGAGTAGTTACATATTGTCACCTATAAAAGGCAAACCCTTAATTATACAACTAAGAATATGCTTCCTCTCGTAAAAATACAAGGAAGGGAAATAAAAGATAAAATTGAAGAGCCAATAATATGTAATTAAAAAGAAAAAAAAGAAAATTATAATTATATAAATACAACCTTTTTCAGCTGAAAAAATTATACACATAAATACCAAAATTCAATGCATCAATCAATGTAAAAGACACACACAAACAACATTCTTAACTCTGTTCTGTCTTCTGTGCGCGTCTCAACTTTGGTTTAGATCACGCGATGTTTGACCTAGCCATCTGCAAACACACATGAATATACAATTCACTTCAAGTTGTTAATCTGTCTTCGATTTCCAGGTTGAGAATAAGTGTAATGCTAATCATCATTAGTCAAACCTTGAGAACAAGAATCTTGCAAGTGGGCTAAAGTTTGCATTGGAACTAAATTCTTTGGTAGCTTGCTTTCTTCTGTTTTCTGCATCATTGTTCATTGTCTTTGCAAATACACGGATCGCCATGTCTTGCACTTCTTTCACTGACACTTCCTTTGTACTGTATGACGATTTTCGATGCTCATTAGATCAAAGTATTGATAATACAACTTACCGATAAAATGTATGCAAGTGTGTGTGTTCTTTAAGAGTTTCCCGTACCTTCCCAACTGTTCTATCAGTTTGGCAATAAAAGCTTCAGAAGAACCAGGCTTTTCACGTTCCATCTTCACTAAGGATCTTGAAACTCTATGTCCAATAGATCCTTTGGAGTCGTCACCCCCAACAGCCTACATTATTGCAGCTTCTAACTCAAAAACGAAACTTTTTTTTCTTTCTCAAAATTGAAGACGACTCCTAACTCATCGAGAGAAGTAAGACGCCAATTGTGTCTATATTAGTGATACCATATATAGGAGCTTACCTCTTTTAGAGATGGTAATAGCAATATTGACAATGATGCAGACAATGAAGCCAATTTGGAGTCATCTTCATCATCACTCACTTGTTCCGATCTCATGACTGGTTTTTGTTTATCAGAACGATCGCGGGAATTTCTGCAAGGTAATAGCTTTCATGTCAGAAATAACCAGAAAACCTGTGACCAACAGAAGCTTTGGCATATACATCACACACACACACTAACCTCAAGTAATCAGAATTATCTGTAGCTTGTTCCCTTCTTTTGTTAACCTTTCCGTTACCAAGTTTTTCCCTAGCATTGCCCCTTCTGAAACCTGCTTCAAGTGCTACCTTTGCCTGGTAAAAGGATGGAAACCAATTGTATGAATGAGCAGGAACAGGAAAGAATAACTTGCAATTTCAGAGACAACTCAAAAGATAAAAGTTTGAAACAAACCTCTGCAAGATTTGCTATGCTATCTTCTGAGGCACTGGAACTTCTTTCTTGAAGCCCTAGTCTAGATCTTGGTGTTCGAGGTGATCCAGAATCCTCATTATGCCCACGGACAACAACTGTTCCACTTGTAGAAGCATCATCAAAAGATGCATACCTGTTGGTGGACTACACAGCATAACTGGAATCAGATATACTTAGTTGTTGAGACAGTAAGACAGGACAAGGAAGAGCACACAGACTTGCTTATAAGAAAAACGAAAAAAAAGAGAGAAATAATTTCCTATACCCCAGAGCTTTGATCACGGAAAAAAGATGATGATTGAGAGCTTCTCGGAGATCTTATGACAACAGTTCCGGAGAGTGACGAATCATCCTGAAATTCAGAATGACAAGGATGAGAATAGTATGGTTATAGATGTAACAGGGACTGCATCTAGGCACACAAGAAGCAAAGGAACTCACTTCTTCTTGATAGTCATTCTGATAAGAATCTCTTTTAACAAATCCTCCTTCGGATATTTCAGGGACTGAACTACCATAAGTGGATGACAAATAACCCCCACTGGCTCGTGATGTTTTTTGAGAAGGCTGATTAGAACTAACTTCCTGACGCCTCTCCCTAGCTTGTGGAGGTTTTAGAGCTCTAACAGTACCAGCACCCTGAGGACCCCCAATGCTAAAGTCCCACCCCGCATTTTTGACAGTTTTTACCTGAAAACTGTAGCTCCAAGTTCTTAACATGTTGATAAAAGAGAAAGAGAGAAGAAATCCCAAAGAAATGTTGGCCAAATATCCAACCTAGTTGGAGAAGTTCCCTGGCCTCTTTCATCTTTAGCTAATCTAACAGTCCCAGATGATTCAGCCGGAGATTTTGGACCATTTGTTGGAGTCTCGCCGTCCTCTTTTACTTGGTATTTTGGCCGCTCTCTTAAAACAAGAGAAAAAGACAGCATAAGAATCATTATGTTCAGTATTTTCTTTTGGCATAAAGCAGATATCAAAACACTAATCAACTGAAATCTATCTACATATCAAACTGCATAGTTATTGGCGGAATCAGAAATTGGAACCACAGACCAACTCTGTAGATGAGAATAAACCTCACACCTTATTCTGTCAAGAAGTTTTGGGCTTTTCCTAGCATTCTTTATAAACCTATGTTTGAGAAGTTCTTTGGCATTTGGTCTCTGCAAGTATATGGAAGAGTTGTATGAGAGATTTTGGAGTGTCACTGCTGGCAATAAAGATCAGAGACTGCACAAGTACCTCAGCAGGAGTCTTTTTCAAACAAAACGAAACAAATTCCTTCAAAGGACGTGAAAAATGCTCATCTAACTGCGGAGGAAATACAGAAAGTTAAATATATAGCTCGTGAAAGGCGACTTCGCAATCAAGAAATATGGCAGTATCAGGTTTCCTCGGAAAAAAATGCATTCCAACCATCCAACAAGCCCAAAGATAAAATTAGGAATATGAAACCTGAGGAGGGCTTTCCCGGGGAATGATAAAAAGCACTCTCATAGGATGAAGGTCTGCAAGGGGAGGTTCTCCTTTTGCCATCTCAATCATAGTTATTCCAAGAGACCATATATCTGCCTGGAGAAGCCCACCCCAGCAACAGACCATACAAGATTAGAAAAGGCTACAAAAAAAAGTAAAGCCAGGACATACACAGAAGATTGCGTAAACTAGAAGAATAAAAGAAGCAAAGAAGATGGACGAGATACCTTCTCATTATACCCTTCTGAGTTCTGAATCACTTCTGGTGCCATCCAAAATGGTGTTCCTACAAATGTCTGTCAATTTTTATTATTAGCGAATGCAGTTCAAGTAGTTGTTTAATAACACTAAACCATCACAGATAAGAGTTAAGATATAATAAAATAATTAGTTATCCTTCAGCTTCCTGGGGGTCACTTATGACATAAACTTCCTAACCAATATGTTCAAACATTGGAATGACTAGAGTATGGAAAACAGGAAAAGCATGCACAAAATTTTGTGAAGTAGTGCGTGGAAACTAAAACTGCACAAAGCAGAAGAAGAAAAGTAACGGCCTATCTAAGAGAATTCTAATTACTAGAACATTAACAATAAATGAAGAAGAAAGAAACATGATACAGAGTCAGGAGTTTCATTAACATAATAAGATAAGCACCTTTCTCCTTGATATTGTCCGGGTTAATTGTGCAGAAACACCAAAGTCTGCGACCTGATATGCGCGAAAGAAGTTGGAGATCAGCTTCGCAACTAAAACCACTAGGACATAAATTAATCAAATAAGTTTAAGAAGTAGAGAATACCTTAACATCACCATTCTCGCTCAATAAAATATTAGCGGCTGTGAAAATAGAAGAAAAAAAATTCTCATGCAATAAGCAATAATAACACATAGTTGGATCATGAAAAGCCAGAAGCTAATTAAAATATATAAGCAGAGAAAACCTTTAATATCTCTGTGGATTTTTCCCTCAGCGTGGAGATATTCAACAGCATGAAGTAGGTCGCGCGTGATACAAGCAATTGAAATTTCATCCAAGGGATTACCAGGTTGAAGCTACCCTCGCAATATCGTTTAAGAGATTAAAATTTGCACCAACAAGGATTAAAATATAGAATAAGAACCCCACAGAGATGTGTGCATCATCAAACAAACAATTATATTTCTCAAACCAGCAAAGAAGTGAAATTACATACAAGGTCAGCAACCGAGCCACCAGCCATGTATTCCATGATGATCCATAACTTGGTCTGGTGAAGGTAAGAACCATAGTATTCGGTAATATATGGGCAACGACATTGTGATAATACTGAAATTTCCTGGGATTAATAGCAAAATGTGAACACGACAATCTTGCATTGCTAATACTAACCAAAAAAATTTGACGCCAATCCAAGAGATACCTTCTGTATATCTTCAATCTCATCTTCTCTGTCAGACATGAAGAAAAGGGGCTAGTTAAAAAAAAAAGGGCACTGAGCATTGTGGTAATCTTGAGACAAGGATACTACAGCTAAAAACTATATCTATTCTACAGAGACAATCATGTGTAGATTAATACCTTTGACAATCGCAAACAAGTAGTATATACAAGATTTAGAAAAACCAATGTTCAATTTTATTAGAGAGCAAAGAAAATAATATCCAAACGTATAAGTGGAGACTGCATATTTAATAGTGAGAAAAACATAAAAACGCAAATACTTACGATTCTTCCAGATCGATAACTTTAATGGCAACTTCTTTGTTAAGATCCGTATCAAACCTGATAAGCAGATGCAACAGTTCAGGATACGAATAAAGCAAACAAAACTTTTCTTAGTCAGTCCTTATTGAACAAAACAGAAAACTAATGCAAATTGGATTATCCTAAATCAAGGCTGGAATGTTAAAATATTTCTTCCACAAATTTTCTACTTTTTTCATTCAATATCAACAAAACACCCAACTCTCAGTTTCTTTCTAGCAAGAAATGTCAATATTATATTTCAGATGAAAGAACTTCTATCAGTACCAGTCTACTCTTGCCAATGAAAGAACCAATTGAGAAAGAAAAAATAGAACAGCAGAAGGTCTAAAGACTTACAGATGAGGGTCATTTCAGTTCAGCAGGTTAGATTAAGTACCTAAGCTAGTATACCAATTAATTCACAAGAAAAAAAATCTGCTACTCTTACACATGTAGTGTGTTCTGTGGCATTCCTTCTGATCAATAAATAAGAACCTAATAGAAAATCTTAAGAAGTCAAAATGAATCAGAGACTTACGCTTTGTAGACATCACCAAACGATCCTCTTCCGATCAGCTCAAACTGGCTAAATCTGGTTCCAGCTGCCTCTTGTAAACCAGCAACATCATCCATTTCCACAAGAATAAACCAAAAAAGGAATCACCTTTTCTTCCGCTCTGCAAATACACTTTGATTGCATCAACAAAACTTGCCAATAACAAGCAGAATCTCACTTGCAAAACTAAAAATTTCCCCAAAATGAGTCAACCCTTCAACTATCACACAGCACATTACCCAAAACTGAGATCTATAACTAAAATCTGATTATCACAATGCATAGACTCTTTACTCGATATTCATTTTCAACTATAGAATATCCAAAACAAATTCAACATACACGTAATTCGAAACACTTCCGATTGAAATTTCTCCCATTCAATCAAATCACCAAAAAAAAAGAATAAAAAAGGTCAAATTTTTATCCTTCGATTACAATGTCAAAATCCGAGAAACTCCAGAATCGGATTCAGAGATTACCTTTTGATATAGTTTAACGAAGGAGTCGCTTCGAAGATATAATACAGATCTTCTTGCTTTCCTCCCTCAGTCTTCGTTTTTATGTTACCTTCCCAAGAAAAATTCTCTGTTCAATGCTCTCTCTCTCTCTCTCTCGAGCACCAAGAGATCGAGAAGATGAAGAAGAAGAACTTCGATTATGAAGTTTTCTCGATTTGATTATTATTCAATTTTTGTTTTTTCATTTTTGTTATTTTCTTTCTTACTTCTCATTTTTTATTTCCCTAAAAAAAATTGAAAAAAAACCTTAAACAACGACCCGACCCGACCCGGCCCGAGTTATAGCATCGGTGTAAAGAGATACCCAATATAAACGTGTAATGAGACAGGCCCAGCCCAAACCTAGATGAGCTTTTTTGTTTCAAATTAAATTCTAAACCAAGCAAAGCTGTTTTTGTTGCATTGGACCAACGAACGATGATTGGACCACAAGTCCCCCACTCCAGAACATATCCATTTTCCCAAACAATCCAAAAAACAAAAGAACAAAGATGGTGACCTTAAATGGCCCCATGGATCATTGAGTGATAAAGCCAACGCCTATTTGGAAGGTTCAGGTAACAAAGTACAGGAACCATCCGAGCCAAAACTAAAATAGTAACTCACAGAGCCAACAATACATGTCGACCTTCCTTTACTGAACCTTTTGGATCGCTCGGTTTATAAAGCTACGACATTAATACAACATTAAACTTTTCTTGTTTTTTTGGTCGTTTTTTCTGTTGATCTCTTTGTGTTTAGATCTTTTTTCCTATTTCTCCATAAAAGTTTTATCTCCTGTATTTTTTCCCATATGATTTGTTTATATAATTAATTAGCAGAAAAACCCAAACAATCAGATATAGATTAAAAAAAGAACATTGAAATTTTGATTATGGACATTTAATAATCTTCCTTTTCACATCAGCATGATGATTCACAAGTTGTATCTGAGGCTCCATTGCATGACACTCCCTGCAAGCAAACACCACCGTCTTTAAAATCCTCTTCCACCAATTCATCAACTTACTCATTCCTCTTCTCTCCTCCACCTTCTTCGTCTTCTTCTTCTTCATCTTCCTCCTCGTCGCATTCTTCTTCCGCCCACCGACCTTGATCCCGTTACTTTTCACCGATCCTTCTCTTTTAAACACCGGAGTTATATGCTGCCACCCCCGTGAATACGACCCGTAAAGCTGCGCTGTCACGATCTCCGTCGCCTTCTTTCTCTTGCATTGTGGCAAATACGAACTAACCTTCTTCGTAGTTGAAGTGTTTACGCTTTTACCATTGTTCCTCGTCGGTGGTTTCTTCTTTAAATCCAATATTAACGATGACTTGTGACGATCTTGATAATATTCTTTGCTCCTACGGCTGATTCCGGAACTTAGGCTCATTATCTCCTCGTTCTCGGACCGAGGACTGAAACATGTTAACTTAGTCTTTTCCATTTCACTTGATGAACTCGTGATCTTGAAGATATTGCAAGTGCTTGTTCTTGGAGTACTGTAAGACGTCGGGCTGCTACTAACACTGCTTCTGCTGCTCGAACTGTTGCTACGGAAAGTGTTTTCGCTGGTGGTACGTGACACTGAACGTGTCGTCGTCGTGCTCGTCGGGAAAAAATGAGGTAAAAGACGGCCGTTGAGGAAAAGATGATCGGCGGGAGAATTTTCCGAGAAAGGGTCTTGCGATGGAGAAGAGGGAGTCAATGATCCAAACTCGAAGTCCGGTGGTGATGACGTCCCCGGCGAAGTCTCCGGCTTGGTCTCGGCAGAGTTTGGGGTACTTGTCCGTTCATCTCCCATCTTCAAAATGGTACTTGTGTGTGAGAATGTGTTAAACTGTTTATTAGTTGTTGTGTTTATATAAAGGAGGAGGTTCATAGTTGGACACGTGGCGAAAGGTTACGGCAGTCAAAGACTTGCCAGCTCAGTGTTTGACTATTTATTTTTTGTGTGTGTGGGTGGGGGATCACAAGAATGAGATCTCTAAGTGAAGTAATGGTTATGGTGTTTGTGTCATGATATTGTCTAAAGTGTTTTTTGGATCCCTAAACGATCCCACATGTTGCTCTATTTTTATAGTTTCTTGATAACGAAGCCATTATCTAAGTAAATTATACTACTGAATAAACACTATACAAAATTGATATTTAAGTTTCTTGTTAGTCTAATCTTAGTTTAGATTCGTTGTTTGCTAATTTTTCTTATTAGAATTATACAATACACAGCTCACGGTCAGAAGCACATACTCTTTTAACTTCGAAGGTTCTCGTAGTGAGGGACACGGTCTCCCATATATACTCTAAACTTTTACGCAGAAAGCACTGATCGCTTTATGATTAGAAAACTATACTTAAAAGGCGATTAAAAGAAGAATTAATATAACACATTATCTATTGGTAAATCTAACTGGTATCATATGCAAATGGAATCTATAGTGTGCAACTGTGTATATATATATATTAAGATTTAGACCATTGTGGTCTAGATTGGGACACACTTCATTAGTTATATTATATGCTAGTTAAGGGAAAAAAACACAAAACGCATTTTTTATATAAATGATTAACTGAAGATGTTATCTTCACTACATATATACAACTAAGTAAGTAATATGACACAAAAATGTTTACACATGACACATGAAAATAACATATTATGCATAGTAATATTGTTTGACGATAAATAAATATGCATAGTAATATCTTTCTCAAAACTCTTAATCTTATTATATAAACCTTGGTTTTCAAAATCAGCCATTAACAAGATCGTGACACGTGTCAATTATAAACGATAAGATGTTGACACGTGTCGTAACTAATTTTGTTAATATTTGGATAAAATATAAATATTATTAACCCTATCGAAAAAGGAAATATATAAAATAAATATTATAAAAAATTATATATTAAAAATTATTGATAAAATTAAAAAATAACCTAATTTCAGTTATATCAATTTGGTTTATTAATAAGATAGGGATTTAAAATTTATAATTAACAAGAATATATGGCGGTTTTTGTTTACAAAAGAGGATTAAGGTTTAAACTTTTATTTTACAAATAAATCAGGTTATTTGTTGGTTTGGGTATATAAATGAGAAATAAGAATTATGGTTTATCTTTATAAATTAAAATTATGGTTTAAGTTTAAGAATTAAACGAGATTATATGTCGAAACTTGGTTTTTAAATTTACTAACTCACGTGATCATGATAAGTGTCAAGTAAAAACATAAGATGTCGCAACATATTATATCTAATTTTTTTAATATTAAGATACAAATAGAATTTTTAAACAACATTAAAAAATAATTATAAAAAATTAAAGAGAATTTTTGAGAAATACCCCTTTTGGTGTACACCTTTTCAAAAATACCTCCTTTATCTATCCATTTTATAATATATCCATGTTTAAATATGAAAATAGAGTTTTAAAAGGTTTGATACAAATAACTACTTGGAAATTTGATACAAATATTTTATAATGTTTTAAAAGGTTTTAAATCGGTTTTTATAAATTTTATAAGGTTTTTAAGTGAATTTTAAAAGGGTTTGTAAGGTTTTTAAAAGGTATTTATAAGTTATTTTACGCTATTTATGAAAGATATATAAAAATTTAAACATATATAAAGGTAATTTGTGTGTATATTTATAAGTTTTCACACATATTTGGATAAATTTCAACATTTAAAGTGTTTTTTTATATAAAGTTTGAAATAGGGGTATTTTTAAAAAGTGGTATGGAAAAAGGGTATTTTTGGTAATTAAAAGTAAAAAACTTGATATTTATAAAAAAAAATGTGTAAGCTTATTTATTTAGACACAAATTATTTTTCTATGTGTGTAAATTTAAATACCATATAAATACCTTTTAAAAACGTTTTAAAAATTATTTTAAAAACATATAAAATTTTTTTAAACTTTATAAAAGTCTTATAAATGCCGTTTAGAACATTTTTAAAACTTTATAAATATTTGTATTGTGTCTCCCAATAGTAATGATGATCTAAATGTACCTTATAAACTATATAAAAGTTTACAATTTTCATATTTGTAAAGGTATATTTTTAAAATGGATAGAAAATTGGTGTATTTTTAAAAAGGGGTAAACCAAAAGGGGTATTTCTCAAAATATTTCTTTCAACTATTAACCTAATTTTTGGTGTTGCCAGTTGTAGGTTTTACAATTATAAGGGTTATATGTTGATTTTATAAGGGTTATATGTTGATTTTATAAATCTGCATTATAGTTTAGATTTTATAATTAAACGAGATTATTTATCGGTTTGGGTTTATTAAAAAGGAGTGAGAATTATGTTTTACAATTAAACAAGGTTATTTATCAGTTTGGGTTCATAAAGGAGAATTAGGATTTACAGTTTAGAAATAAATTAGATTTTGAGTTTAACTAAATAAATAGTTTTATTCATGATTTTTATTTTATAATATGTTATATTTGTTTAATTTTTAATTTATGTATGAATGTATTATGCCAACGAGCAATTTCATTGTCTAAAACATAAGGGTGAATAAAATATTTTCGAAAATAATATTTTTAGCTTAAATTAAAGATAACAAAAGTTCAATATAATTCGTAATATAGTAATTTTAATATATTTTTAAAAATAATATGTAGTTTTTATAATTCGTATTTGAAAGATTTTTTAATGTTTTCCTCAACGATGCTATAATTTATTTTAGAATCTTTATGTTTATTGGGGGAATTTCAAAAATACCCTTTTTCATATACCTCTTTTTAAAAAGAGAAAATTATATATTATGCCATGTACATTAACCAATCTTCTATCCAATGCCATTTTATTTTTTGTCTTCTCCCGCCTGCCACAAGGGTTATGAAGAATGACATTTATACCCTCTCATCAATGAAATCTCTAAAACCTAATTTTTTTCTTTTTCAATAATTTCTTCTTCCTCATCTTCTTTTTATTTTTCCAACAACAAACTATTCCGGCGGAGCAGATCTAGCGGACGAATTCCGGCGGACCAGATCCAGCAGATGAAATCCGGCGGACTAGATCCAACAGACTACTTCTGACGGACCAGATCCAGCGAACTAATTCCAGCAGACCAGATCCATCGGACTCATTCCGGCGGACCAGTTCCAACAGACAAGAACTTCGTCGGACCAGTTCCAACAGACCAGAACTTCGGCGGACGAGTTTCGACCAGAATTCCGGCGGACGAGTTCCGGCAGACCATAGTCAGTTCTGGTGAACTATAACCAATTCTCGCAGACCAGATTCGACAGACCAGTTCTGACAGACCAGATAGACGAGTTCCAATAGACCAGATTTGGCAGAGCAGTTCCGACGAACTATAACCAGTTCCAACAGACCAGTTCCGGCATACCAGATAGACCAGTTACGATGGACAAGATAAACTATTTACTGCGGACAAAAACTAGTTATGATAGGCTTGTTCCGGCTGACAGTTCTAGTGGATCTGATTCGACGGACCAGATGATAAAACAAGTGATGCGTTTATGGTGGACAAGATTCATTTTTCTATAGAAGAACAACCTTCGACGAACCTATTTTGGTGGACTAGATTCAAATTAGTTATGGTGGATCAGATCTAGTGGACCAGATCTGGTGGACAAGATCTCTTTTTTATTTTGATTTTGTTTATCGTTTTTTTTGTCTTTTTCTGCGAGGGCAACATCGTTATTTTGCGGCTGCACACAATAACATTATGGCATGTTTTGAAAAGAGTTAAGGAAAGTGGCAGTTTTAGAATTTTGAGTTTTAAAAGTGGCATAGCCAATAAAATTCCCTTTTAAAAATACCCTTTTTCAAACTTTATCCAAAAACCCACTAAAAAGGTTGAAATTTATCCAAATATGTATGTAAGCTTATAAATATATACATAAATTACTTTTATATGTGTATAAAACATGTATAAAACTTTATCTACCTTTCATAAATAGTGTAAAAATAAATTATGAAAACCTTATAAAAACCGTATAAACCCTTTTAAAAACCTTTTAAAAACTTTATAATACTTATAAAAACGATTTAAAACTTATTTAAAACATTTTAAAATATTTGTATCGAATCTCCCAGTAGTAGTTATTATATAGAAATACCTTATAAACTATATAAAACTTTATAATTTTTTATATTTAAAAGGGGGTATTTTTGAAAATGGATAGAAAATGGGGTATTTTTAGAAAGGGGTACACCAAAAGGGGTATTTCTCAAAAATTCTCAAGTTTATTTGCGTTGTTTATATGAATTTATTTACAAATGACTATATTTGTATTTAACATCATATTTTAGATTGATGTTAATTTGAAAGAACTTTACCATCATATTAAATAATAATTAATTAATTTTCATATTCTGAGAATGATTTTTTGAAAAATTGAAAGTTAAGAAATATTTTTTTTTACAAAATGGTATAATCATGATTTAGAGGATAATTGCAAAATTAAGATTTTAAAAAATATTTTAGCAATATTATGAGTAATGGTGAATAGCTCCCAAATAGCTCCCAAATGTTTTGGTGATTGTCAATTTGACATTACTAGATTTTTATAATTAACGTTTAATAAAAAAATTTAAGGGATATATATATATATATATATATACACGTTTATTTGATACTTCAAACCAAATAAAATCTCTTTCCAAATGAAATTAATTTCTCATATTTTTTCAAAAATAAAATTTGGAAATTATTTTTTTATAAGTTATAATAAATTTTAATATTAATTTAATTTTAAATAAAGATAACCAGTCTTTCGGACGGGTACTAAACTAGTTAGATAATAAACACTTGTCATTGTCAATTCTTTCCCAAAACTCTTCTTGTCTGTTCTCTGTCCCGTTTACGTGATCATAACTTTGTGCTTACTCAACAGTCATTTTCACTACTCAAATACAATTCTTTACAAATAAAATCCAAACTTCTTTTCATGATCCATGATCATATCAGCTTCCAACAAAGTTGTTATGATCATCATTTTAATTTATGCATCTATATATCTTTGGAAATTGGAGTCCGGAGGTAATAATATTGTGACCATAATAAATAGAATTCTTGTGTTTATTATGCATTTTACAATCTTAAATTTTGATCCAGCCAATAGCTAAACTAAGTCAAGGAGTAAGCCAAGGCATGTAGGGGATACTCATATACATCACCACACCAAATAGGAAGAAGAAAGTACACTAAACTGAAGCAAAATTGAAGACAAAAGATCTCACCCTGTGGCTTTGTGTCTCCCATTCGGGTCTTTCTTTAGGACACATTGACTGGCCCATTCTCCAGGGATGATTAGTTAAGGACCACCAATTATCATTGACACAGCCATGCTTAATAATCTTTTACTTTCTCTTTATTTCGATTTTGCGTAACGTTTAATAAACCTCACATGTAACGTACAATATATGATTCGGGAATTGGATGAAATGTGTCTAGTTTAACTCATTAAAGAAGATACATTTTAACCTTCCAAAGAGTTTTAATAACATGATTGAAGACATGTAATTTATAAGGTAGTTATGTTTCCGTCCAATAGATCTACAGGATCCAACCAAAAAAGAAGAGAAAAAACAAAATTTATGCCATGTTTTGTTTCGCATAGCGACTCAGTAAAGCTAGAAACAGGGAAGTAACTTGCGATCCAAGAATCTGGAATCTTCCACTAATGGTTTTCTAGTTCATATATATTTACCATAACCATGAGAGCTTATCCAATGAATCTTCTCCCTATCATGACGAGACGAGTATGCTCTCTCTGCTCTCCCTCTTTTGGTACCATTTGTTCAATAGCTTTATTCAGTTCTCCCATGTTACCTGTTTTAATATTCTTACAATGTACTTTAGACCCACACAGTCTTTGGCTACATGATCTACCGACACTGTAAAACATTTGGTAGATTAAGTACAAGATTAGTTTGTTAACTTTCCATGTTTTGGCAAAGATATTGAAAACGCAAAAGAGACACTTACATGGTAAGTGTCAAAAACTTTCATATTATAATCAAGAAAACTTCAAACAATCTCTAAAACTAGATTCAAATTACAACCATCAGTAATAGAAAATGTGTTGCCTCCTCTTTCATAGTCAGTCCTTTGAAAAAAAAGAATGGGAAATATATGAAAGAATGAAATAGACAAAAGCTTTAAAACAAGAGTTGAACCGCTTACATAATTAAGTTTCAAATTCTCAGCACACTCAAGAGAGGACCTTGTATTTGAAACTTGTGAGACTCTAACTCTCAAGGTTGAAGTAATAGATGTAAAATGCGTCTACTAGGCCAGTAACACAACTTCAGTGACCAACTCAGTACGCTTAACTATGTTTTTTCACAAAGGAGGCAATGTGTAGATAGATATCTTTGCACCAATGTTACCAAAAAAAAAGAAAAGAAGAATATATCTAATTTGGACCATATATACTCTTGTAGTTGATCAAAGTAAGCATTCATCTATGTTGATGAAGAAACTTGGCAAACATAACAAACACCTAGTTTGATATAATCCTATGATGAGATTTTGAATTTCTTCTTAGTCATTGAACCACAGTTTATGCTCCCACTTCCAAGTCCATCAAAGTTTTGGGCTCTCGCCAGCCCAGTGAGGATATCTACTCTTGTTGTTTAGAATTTGATATAGGGATCATGCATCATTATGTCTCTATTTGGCTAAAATTCGAGTATTGATCTCAGAGCGCTAGAGAAGAGGACATAATCCTTCAAGGTTTAATGATCACTCGTTTGTGGAACAACATAGTTAGATATATAAAACTTGTTAGAACATCTCGAAAGAGGCAAGGAAACGAGAAGCTAAATTATTAGAAAGCTCTATGATTTTTTCTTTTCTCTTCTTGTTTGGTAATTCTTGATCTTCTTTATCTGTATTGTCACTCAAGCGAGATTAATAAATGTATATATAGTTGGTGGATATAATTAATTATTGATGAGAGCGAGTGATATATATATATGGACCCTGGAAGGTTTGCAGTTTGCTTCTACTGCAATTTACTCTCTCTCTGATTTATTATTCAATCTTGTATTCTACTACTTGTATTGTTTATTCCAAACCAAGAAGCTGTCAACGCCATTGATCATCATATCTCATACCAACCATGTTTCTGATCAAACTTCAAAGTGACCGTGGCTTTCGGGTACTAGTCCCTTGTGCTTTTGGATGAGTCACGCTCCTTACTCGTATCTGTATTGAAAACCTTTACCAATTAGCATTCCACACATCTTAGTACGTAGGCAGAAGTAATGCACATCATTTGCCATATCTTTGGAAACATACAACATACACTCAAGGAGAAACATAGAGGCCGGGTACTAGAGAGTGGTAGCTAGTTATTTTTTTGTCTATACTAGCTAGCTAGCTATGAGTCAATACCATGACTCAGCTGATTTTGACATTATTGTTAGATGATACCACAAGTTTTAGATTCTTAGAGAATTTAGATGACAGAAGAGAGAGAGCAGACAGCTTCTCTATCTAATCTGTGGTCGCTTGAATGATGAGTTTGGCATAGGAAGTGTCATCTCTACCCTTGATCTTTCTTGATTCTGGATTAACACCTGACCAGTGATTCCTCCTCTCCGACCTGAACCTTCTCCAAAGCTCTCTCCGGAGCTCTTCCTCCTCCTCTCGTTGTGTCCAGCCAAGCGCCTCCTACAACTTCTTTTAGCTTCATCAAACTCCTGGATCTCATGGAACCTGTTTCAAGCTCCAAATGAAAAAAAAAACCCATTCAAAGATCAAGAAAAAAGTGTATTGAAGGGTAAAAATTAAGTTGTCTGTACGGTACCTGCTGCATTGTTGACAGAAGCGTTGGCTAACTCCTGAGAGAAAGACAGAAGATGCCTTTGCATGAACTTCACACACTTTGTGTCTCCGGTGATACTGTTTAGCCTCTTTCAGATCAGCTGTGCATCTGTCTACTTGACAAAGCCGCGATGAGCTACCACTAGAGTACCCTCTAATAACTCTATCCATCAATCCTTTCTTTTTCTCTTCATTCCTTACAGCTTCCTCTTCTCCATCCATATCATCCTCCATTTCTTCTTCCACAAGGTAAGACTTGCTTTTCAAGTAACCTTGTCCTTGTGTTCTTCTACCCTCCATGTTTCGAGTAAAGAGAGCTTGAAGTTGGAGTCTTGGAAATTAAATGATGGTTTGTTAGGTTAAGCAATGTTGAGGAATGAGACAATTGGTGATATTGTTGATGAAATTGAAGTTTCTTGAAGTGTTTAAAAGGTGAAGTAAAGTCGGGGGATGGACCACTATGTTTTTGTACGCTTCTCTGGTGGAATAAGTGCATGATTACGTAGTGTAGATGTGCTAAGCTCAGAAAATAAAACAGAATAACGAAAATTATAAATTAGAAAGAAAGAAAGAAAAATAACTTGAAATTACAAACTTTAAAGGTGTTTTTTTCAACAAAATTCATGTGTTTGTTTGATTTAAATATTTGATAGATAACTAAAAACTCACTACTATGGAGTTCCAAAATGTGAAATTTTGTTACAAATTGAAATATCTTTTCCTAATAAATCGTGAAGAGATCATTGATTGCCTTATAGAGGAAGTCTTTATTGGCCTGCCACTGTTTTGCAAATAGTACATAAAACTCCATAATTTACACATGGGCTTAATAACTCATATCAATCTTTTTTTGTTCTTTAGGAACAAAACAAAAACTCCTCCTCATAAATTGATGTGACGATTTGCTTGCAACCTTGAGTAATCTTTTGATACACTCATATTGGAAATGCATTTACCATAAGCTTAGGCTTAATTGATCTCTATTTGATTTTTACGTTTTGGGGTATATGATGTCCTAGACATGAATATTATCATGTGTCTGGACCAGGACAAACAAACGAATATGGTAGATGCTTATATACGATCTAACCCTTTTGATTTCTTTCTTGTGCATGTTTGCCTTTATTATCACTATTGCTTATATAAAGATTCTCTGTAGAAGTGGAGAATTACAGAGAATTGAAAGATGGAAATAGAACAAAATGAGAACACTTGCTTTAATTCAATGTGTTGATGCAATAGACATATGGTACCATTTCAAGACAGAGATTTGTTGTGAGTTATAGGTTCTTCTGTTTACTTGTTTCACCATGAAAGTACTAATCTCTCTTTCTTTTTACCTTCCTATTTTTTTTTTTTTTACAGTGTGTTGTGTCGAGAAGACAGATTCAACTGCATCATCATAACTCTCTGTGAAGTGTGAATAGTCACTGAAACAAATGAAAGTAACTTTGAATCTTTGAGTTGAATAGGTAAAGAACCAACAAGCAGCAAACAGATAGGTTCACTGATTTACTCAACTGTGTTATATATTTTTCCTTAAATTTTTTACAGTGTAGTTGTTGTTGTCTTTTTGTTCTGTAATACTAGAATTAGTGGGTAGTGAAAGAGACAGGACACTAAGGTTTCACATGCGACATTGTACTCTCTCTCTATCTCTCTGACTCTGCCTAGCCTGACGCAACTTAGCTTTTGCAAACCCAAAAGCTGCATTTGTATTTTTCACATAACTGAATAAACTTGTCCCTATATTCAGTTTCCGGTTTGGTTTGTTCCGGGAAGATTATTGGGTTTAGGCTTAACATATATATGTAGGTATTTGTGTTGATAGTATTCAAACATTATTACAATTCAGTTTCAGTTTAAACTTGTTTGGTTTGATTTTGTTCCGGTTTATTAAATGTTGACATTGGTAGTCCATGTGCCAGTCACATCTTCTCTCTTGTATGTGCATGCACTGCAAATTTGCGTCATAAAAGTAACTTTTATATCCTTAGGATAACAAAAATAATGATTCGTGGAATGGATTTTATTTGTTGACACTTTTTTATTTTATTTTTTATTTGTTGACACTTAAATTACCCTAATAATATTAGGGGTAAATAAAAATGAGCCTCTTGGAATATTCTCAAGTAGTTAAAAAGGTTGATATTCAAGTTTTGGACTATCTAACCTAGGGTTGGGAAAAAAACCAAACCCGAATATCCAATTCGGAACCCGACCCAAAAGAATCGGTTTGGATAGGAGACGTGTATCTTTAAATAACTCTATTAGATTCTATATTGCTAAATCCGTGGGTTCGGATTAGGATCATGATAATACCCGTTACCCGAACGGGTACCCATAAAACCTAACAATATACAAATATCTAAAATATTAATAATATTTATCATTAATATCATTTAGGTATCCAAGATTATAATTATAATTTTGAATATATCAATTAGCTTTATACCTAGATAATCAAAATATCCAAAATTTATTTGTTATATATCTCAAAATTTAGCTAAAATTATTTAAATTTATCCAATTTTTAAAGATTTTTTTTGGGTATCCGGTAGTTTAGGTAGTAATCGAGTTTTAAAGTTTGTAAGCCGAACCGACCCAAACCCGAAAGTACTCAAACCAAAACAAACACGAAAGTCGAAAGTTACCCAATGGATTCTATTTCTTTAAACTCATATAACCGGATTCCGACCTAAAAACCCGAATGCCCAGGCCATTTAAACCAATAAAGTGATTCAAAAATTGTGACCGGCCGGGAGAAAAAAAAAGAAAAGAAAAGAAAGATAGGAATTTTTATGTATGATCCACGAGAAGAAGAATATATTGTAGAAACAGACTTTTGTTTTGTTTTTCAATCTAAATACTCTATAGTACAATGTACATGGTTGATACTAAAGTATAGTTCGCATTCAAACTTTTAAAATGTTCGATGCATCTTTTTATTCAATATATTCTTGCATTACTTGCTTCGTTCCTCCGCGTCGCTCGTTAGCAAACAAAACGGACGTAACTATCCGTAGGACCTTTGTCCCGTATACACTTCCAATAACAAAATATGCTTTTGGTTTTTAGAATCCAAATTATACATGATTTGTCGAGCTCATCACTGATCGCTTCTTGTCAAATTTATATTTCGCCACGTATCAAGATTTGCATGGATTGGTCGAATTAAACCAGAAATATAGAGAAAATGAAAAAAAATGAAACCAATATCTGAATTGGTCCAAAACGTTATAGTCCTCCACGACCCACCTCAACAGTGCTAGTTGATGTACAGTACTACCAATCTTCAACAATACTAGAGCATCTTTGTTGTGTGCACTTGTGAAAATGAAAGTGTTTTTTGTAGCAATATTACAATTTCGAGAATCGATTCGTCGTGTGAGGGCCAAAAGTGATGTTATTGCTTTCAGTCACACACACACACGACGAACCAAACGAGTTTTGTCTCTTCGTTTATAGGAATTTCAACGGAAACAAATCTTCTTTCAAATCTTTCTTCTCAGATTCTTTCATCAAAACTATGCAATCCAGCTAGCTCTCTCTATCTATAGTCTATACTCACCAACTAAACTATATCCATATCTCTTCTCGCATTTCTTACGTCATAAATCCTTAAGCTATTACAAGAACATACAAAAATAAATTCAAAACCCGAATATATACCAAAATCACTATCTTAATTTCTATCACTGTTGAATATTTGAAGATAATGAAAATATCGTTTATCTCAAATTCTTTAGAGGTTTTTGGTTTAGACCTGCAACAAGAGTATAACTAATAATAACCAAGTGTCCGGTTTACTCAATTGATTATTCGGTTATGGTTAATTGTTTCTGGTTCAGTTATTGGTTTGTATACTCGACTGTGACAAACTTTTCCAATCAATGAAGCATATCAGGTGAGCTTTCTATTACCCTGTAAACTCCAAATTACAACAATTTAACGTTTCATGACACTGATCACAACAACATGATAGCCACTAGAAGTAGAGAACACATCATAGAGACAATGATCATTGCACTACAGAGAACGAGCCACGGTTCTGAATTCAGTCAAGCAAGACTGAAGAATCTTCTGCCGTTTCTGAAGCTGTTGGCGTTCGTTTTGCAGTGCCTCAACTGCTCCAGGAGCAACGAACATGTCCATAAACTTGTCGTCACTCACTGCAAAGAGATCCAATCCTAGTGTAACAACTAGACTCTCTCGGCTGCAAAAGCAAACAGATATCAAATCAATATAATTTCTAACTTTGCAAGGAAACAAATAACATTCACCAATAGACTCACCAAGGTGTTAGAAACCCTGAGTTTAGAGTTGATGTTACGCTTCTTTCCACAAGAACTTCACGTATCCTAGCAAAATGTTGAGCGGCTGATGAACATATCTCAGAGTAAGCAGAGCTCGATTTCATCCCGTTATCCGCGCCAAACATAAGCCCACCGTTCTGAACTCTAAATGGCTCTATGTTCCTGTTTCCTACCATTCTCGCCATTCTTTTTCTTGCTCCAACACCATCAGGACCATTCCCAATTTCCTTCTTTATCACTCCATACCCAATCTCGCATGGTTGGTCTGGTGATGGTGTCTCAGGGACTGTTATGTGGCTCTCCCCTCCTTTTCCTGGTGTTGTCTCTTGGCCATTATTCTTCTCGGGAGGAATGTTTTCTTGATCCTTCATCGGTTCATCACGACTAGTATCAGAGAGCTCGAAGCAAAACGAATTACCTGAGGCTTGGTTGAATTTGTTATAAGTGCCAAAAGCTCCTCCTTGGTGGTAGTCATTCTCATAACACGCCATGGAATATGGGCTGGTCACTGAATCAAGATGATGTCTCACTAACTGCTTGCACTGTTTGGCAAGATTCTTCACAAAACGGCTGTAACAGTTCCTTACAGCAGCATGAAAACCCACATATCCATCCATATTTTCAGTTTTCTTCTCATCTGCAAAGACCATTTGTTCATGAGATGCAGGGCTCTAGGAGAGTATGAAATATCCAAGGAGAATTGAAAGGTTCTTACATTCTGAGTTCTGGTTCAGGTTTCTTTCTAGAGCAATTTCAAAGAGACTTCCTAATACAAAGGCAAGCCTGTCGCAAGCCGTGTCAAGAAGAGGAGCAAGCCATGACCGTGCAGCGGTTCGAGCAATTTCTGCAGATGCTTCAGTCACTCCTCTACCACCTCCACGCCCAGCATGGGCAAGCAGAATATTTGCTACCTGCTCAATTGAGTCTATGTGTTCAACTTTGCATTTCTATGAAAAACAACAAGAAATTGTTTACTGAAATAAGGTGAAAAGTACCTTTTCTCTTGACACTGGAGGGCACTCAATGGAATAGGCTGCACAGCGGAACTCATGAATCACCCTTTCAAATGCAGCTCCTCCATAAAGTTTAAGAATGGCATTCGGTGGCTTAATGTTCACACCGACGCCTGGCCAGCTTCCAATGCCACTCTCGCCTCGCTCTTCTTCAGTTGTCTTCCCCCACTGCTCAGGTGCTGGGTTTGCAGCTCCGTCAATCAAGGCTCCCTAAACAAGAGCAAACAAAGTGTAACTTCAGAGTATGAACTACTGTATGTCTTGAAAAAGTTTGCAACAGAAACTGTATGTTACTCACCACATGATTGCTAATAGAAGCAGTGTACAACATGGCTGCTTTTCTGAGGTGAGCAACATCAGAAGTAGCTTGCAGTTTCATATCCATTCTCAAAATATCATCCGTTACCTCAGAGCATCGCTGTTCAAGCAAAGCTAGTGTTGCTGGTGCAGCTTCCTTGTATCTCTTCTGAAGCTCAGACTCTAAGAAATCTCTTAATGACCCAAAACCAATATAGGACCGGAATTTTTCTTCATCAAATCCTCCTTTAACTCCTTCCCGTAAATGCCTTATGACTTCTGTGTCCACCTGAGATATTTGTCTACGAAATTCGTCATTTGAGACAGTGCTTCTGTCTTTTGGCAATGCCACAAAATAAGGACGAGTATTCTCCCCAAGGTATCCACTAGCACTCAGATAACGATCAACTTCACCGCGATCGCTAAATTCCTGCAAGAGAATTGCTTAGTTCAGACATAGAGGCATCAAAAAGTAATGGTCCATAGCTGATTATGTTTCAAGATTCTGATACCTTTAGACGATTATCAAACTTGGAGACAACAACAATAGTCCTCCGAAAGCTAGAATCAATTTCACGAACTGCATCCAACCACAAAGATGAGCACCATTCCACACTACTCTGCTGCAGGAACAACAGAATCCGATGTGGAGGACTAGCCAGTGACTTGACCATTGATAATATTTCATCAGGTGTGGTTTCAGGCTCTCCTTTCTTGGCCTGCTCACACAAGCATCAGAAACTATCCAAATGGAAAAATTTGATACAGAAAGACACAAAAATAAAAAACGAGAACAGTCTACCTTAAGAACAAATCCAGGAGTATCAATGATAGTCAGATTTGGACAATGAGCATACTCAGCTCTCATCACAATTGGCTTAGGCGAGACTGCAGTTTTTGTCTTCTTCAGAAGCGCCTCTGTTCTTGACCTAATTACATCTGCTACTGCTGTAGCCGAAACAATAGGACTACCATATTCGTCAGAATCTTCATCCTACAAACCAAATTACCAAAGTTTAGTAATCAAAATCACCAAATTAACAAGACCTCGATTGAAAATAATTCAAACCCAGAATCAGTCTGTAGAAGCACCAAATTCAATAACACTAGAAATCTGAAACATATGCAGAAGTAACTCGCAATGGAATCCCAAGTTATACCTGGAACTAGCCAAATTCAACAACCCTACTACTACATTGTACCGTCTCCAAATTCAACAACCCTACCACTACATTATACTGTCTCCAAATATAACAATGAACAATCCTAGAAAACTACTATATTGTACAGTCTTCAATTTCAACAACACTACTACTAAATTGTACAGTCTCCAAATTCAACAATGAACAATCCAAGAAAACAACTATATTGTACTGTACAGTCTCCAAATTCAACAACACTAGAAATCTGAAACATATGCAGAAGCAATTCGCAATCGAATCACAAGTTACACCTGGAACTAGCCAAATTCAAAAACCCTACTACTACATTGTACAGTCTCCAAATTCAACAATGAACAATCATAGAAATCTAATATATTGTACAGTCTCCATTTTCAACAACCCTAGAAATCGGAAACATATGAAGAAGTAAATCGCAATCGGATTACACAATTGTATAGCTTATTATACCTGGAATCGACACCGTGGTTCCAAAGCTGATAAATCATGAACCATCTGGAGAATCAAAGGGCGACGCGTGCCCATTTCAACTTCTCGGACATTGAATCGGAACCCTAGAAGCGCTTCGAGCAAAGAGCTTTTCCCGTCGGATTGACCACCGATGGCAACGATCTCCGGTATCGGAAGCTTCTCTCCGAAAGCAACCGCCGCTGCTTGGAGACGATTGTAAGCTTCGAATCGTGACCTAGACTCTGCGTTTACAGGATCCTTGGATTGTGACTGCATCTTCGATTGACTCTGCTGGTTTCTCCTTGAAGAAGGGGTTTTAGTCGGTGTGGTTAGGTTTGTGTTTGAATTCGCCATTGACGAAGAGGAAGAGACACAACGGTCAGATATCGAAGAGATTGGAGAAGACGGAGCGTAATAGAAGAAATTACGAGTTTTCAAATTCTTTTTAATATTTTGATTAAACGGAGTTTCAATATTTGAAATTTGAATTAATGGGCCGTGTTGGGCCTCTTAACTAAAACTCTTTAGGCCTAACATTAACCGCCTATTGGGGAAGATGCACAACCGTCCGATTAGAGGGTACCGATGTATCAACGGTCGGTATCTGTTAACTAAACGCGTTTATATTTAACGGTCAATGCATGTTAACTAAACGCGTTTATATTAGCGAGAGTAGTTTCACAATTCATCAGATACAAAAAATCGTATTTTTCTCTCTGTTTTTCTTTTTATTTGAAGAATTCTCTCGATTAGTCAGAGATTTGTTTCGATTATTCATCGATCAGCAAGTTTCTTTCGATTTCATAGATCGCGAGTCTGGATTTAGAATCTAGGGTTTTGATGGGACTTCAAAGATTTTGGTTAGTTCCCTTCCTAATCTTTCAGGATTTTGTTTTTTTGGGGTCTCCAAGTTTTTCTAATGGTTCATATATACTTTTTGTTTTGTTTTGAGTAGGGTTTCTAAGAAGCTTGTCTCCTCCGCTTGAAACCATCGTCAAGGTATGTGTATCGCTTGTCTTTTCTGATTTTAATTGGTTTTGGTTTTGGTTTTGGTTTTTGTTTTGTTTTTGTTTTTGTTTTTTGAGGACTGAAATCGAATGAGAACAAACATGTACGATAAGTTCTTGTCGATGATTCTTTGTTTCATTTTGTAATTGATAAGATTCCTCTTTTGATTTTGTTCTACAGAACTTTTCTTGGGTTTTTATTTTTTGGTTGATGTTTTTGTTTTTCTTTCAAAACCCAAAAAGATTCATTGGCAGACACTAATCAAATAGTGTTCTGTCAGATTCTATTTGGGGACATTGTCCCGAACAAGATTGTGAACGGAACTGGATGGGTATAGTGCATGCATGTTGCGAGATGGAAAAACATTGGATGGGAATGACCAAATCTTGGATGAAAAAAGGAAAGAAAAGAATTTAACTGACCATTTGTTAAGAAAAATTATAAGACATAGAAAGAGTCCGAGACTTTGGGTTGGATGGAAAGAGTCTGAGACTTTTGGTTGGATGGTAAAAACGACCGACCATTTGTTAAGAAAAATCGTAAAGACACAGAAAGAGTCCGAGACTTGGAAAGAGTCTGAGACTTTGGGTTGGATGGTAGAAACGACCGACCATTTGTTAAAAAACATCATAAAGACTTAGAAAGAGTCCGAGACTTGTAAAGAGTCCGAGACTTGTAAAGAGTCCGAGACTTTGGGTTTGATGGTAAAAGAAACATCATAAAGACATAGAAAGAGTCCGAGAGTTTGGGTTGGATGGTAAAAATGACCGACCATTTGTTAAGAAACATCATAAAGACATAGAAAGAGATTGAGACTTTGGGTTGGATGGTAAAAACGACCAACCATTTGTTAAGAAACAACATAAAGACATAGAAAGAGTCTGAGACTTGGGAAGAGTCTGAGACTTTGGGTTGGATGGTAGAAACGACCGACCATTTGTTAAGAAACATCATAAAGACTTAGAAAGAGTCCGAGACTTGGAAAGAGTCCGAGACTTTGGGTTTGATGGTAAAAGAAACATCATAAAGACATAGAAAGAGTCCGAGAGTTTGGGTTGGATGGTAAAAAGACCGACCATTTGTTAAGAAACATCATAAAGACATAGAAAGAGATTGAGACTTTGGGTTGGATGGTAAAAACGACCAACCATTTGTTAAGAAACAACATAAAGACATAGAAAGAGTCTGAGACTTTGGGTTGGATGGTAGAAACGACCGACCATTTGTTAAGAAACATCATAAAGACTTAGAAAGAGTCCGAGACTTGGAAAGAGTCCGAGACTTTGGGTTTGATGGTAAAAGAAACATCATAAAGACATATAAAGAGTTCGAGAGTTAGGTTGGATGGTAAAAATGACCGTCCATTTGTTAAGAAACATCATAAAGACATAGAAAGAGATTGAGACTTTGGGTTGGATGGTAAAAACGACCGACCATTTGTTAAGAAACATCATAAAGACATAGAAAGAGTTTGAGACTTTGATTGAGTCCGAGACTTTGGGTTGGATGGTAGAAACGACCGACCATTTGTTGAATTGAAATAAACTAACGGCTTAAAAACAGAGCCATAAGACATAAGGACTTGACAAAGTTCTAAGGTCTGATTACTTGTTGGATGGTAGAAAACGACCAACATTTTGAGGAAGTTAAGATAAAGATACTTGACAACCCTATGAAGCTTTTTAAGACTTGTTGGATGGTAAAAGCGACCAACAGCTTCAAATAAAGACTGTGGAGGAGTTGAGACTTGTTGGATGGTTAAAACGACCAATATCTTGACTGATGGAAATAGACCAATGGCTTAAAAAAGAGGCATGAGACAAAATTATTAGACATGGTTGACAAAGTACTGGTCCGATTACTTGTTGGATGGTAAAAACGACCAACATCTTGATGAAGTCTTAAGGGAAAGATACTTTATAAACCTATGGAGCATTTTAAATTTTGTTGGATGGTAAAAGCGACCAACAGCTTCAGATAAAGAGTGTGGAGGGGTTGAGACTTGTTGGATGCTAAAAACAACCAACAGTTTCAGATAAAGACTTACCCCAAAACTAGAAGACCAACGGCTTAAGAATTTATAAGAGTATGAAGCAGCTACCCACAGCTTAAAGAAATAAGACAAAGATGATAGAGCAGTTATGACTTTGTTGGATGGTAAAAACGACCAACAATATAAGCTTTAATGCAAAACCTGAAACTAATAGTCCCACGGCTTAAAGCAGTTGCAATATTATGGAACTTTTACCCAAGGCTGATAAAAATAGGACATATATTTAACAAAGACAAAAGAGAGGTTAAGACATGTTGGATGGTAAAAACGACCAACAGTAAGACTTGTTGGATGGTAACAACTTAAGAGAAAGAGGTTAAGAAAATCATAAGACAAAGATACTTGATAAAGATAATGGAGCAGTTAAAACTTGTTGGAAGGTAAAAATGACCAGCAACTTAAAGAGAAAGAGAGGTTAAAACTAGTAGACCCACAGTTTAAAGAAGTCATAAGAGAAATATACTTGACAAAGAGTATGGAGTGATTCAGACTTGTTGGATGGTAGAAACGACCAACATCTTGAATAATTTGGAAGATAAAGATACTTGAGAAGCCGATGAAGCATTTTAAAATTTGTTGGATGGTAAAAACGACCAACAACTTCAAATAAAGACTTTGGAGGGGTTGAGACTTGTTGGATGGTAAAAACGACCAACATATTGAGGAAGGCATAAGATAAAGATACTTGAAAAACCTGTGAAGCTTTTTAAAGACTTGTTGGATGGTAAAACGACCAACAGCTTCAGATAAAGACTATGGAGGGGTTAAGACTTGTTGGATGGTAAAAACGACCAACAGCTTCAGATATAGACTGTGGAGGGGTTGAGACTTGTTGGATGGTAAAAACGACCAACATCTTGAGGAAGTCTTAAGATAAAGATACTTGACAAACCTATGAAGCTTTTTAAGACTTGTTGGGTGATAAAAACGACCAACAGCTTCAGATAAAGACTATGGAGGGGTTAAGAATTGTTGGATGGTAAAAACGACCGGCTTCTTAGGATAAAAAGGTTATGATAATGACTGAACCTAAAGCTAATAATAGATTTACAGCTTAAAGAAGTCTTAAAATAAAAACTGAGCCTAAAACAAATGGAGAAACAGTGGAGGGCTTAACTGGCTCAAGTTACTTTGCTTTGTTGGATAGAAAATACGACCAATAGCTTCAAAAAACAAGGTAAGTATTCAACATTTATGTTAAATCAAGACTAACTAATTTTATTTTTCTCAGGTTAATTATGTGCTTCTGATGGTGTTCAAATTGGTTGACTTTGAGGAGATTTAAAACGTAGCAGACTTCTGGAACATGTATGTACTTTCAAACCTTTTTGTAATTAGTTGATAGTGATACAATTTTGAAAATCATAAGGAAGAGACATAGACGTTAAGTAAAATGACTTGTTTTGATTTTTTTTTCCAGGTATATGCTTCAGAAGTGTGCCAAGGACATCTGTAAGTGTAGCAAAATTATGTGACCAGGTTTATGCTTTTCTAAAATTGTCTGTGATAAATTCATAGTATTACATATGTGATTATTTTACATATTAAGTTTAGTGTATACGTCAAGTAAAAATTTAGAAATGCCTAGTTAGAAATGTTTATTAAATAGCTCTCTCTTGATAACATTACTATCCTTGATTTAGCATTCATTAGATTATAGGAACTTCTTGCTACCATTGTTAAAAAGGTAGAGTTTTGTTTTGGGTAACGTTCCAATACCGTATTGGAACGTTACATTAACATTGTGTGCTTAAAATAGTTATTATCTCTGTTTTGGTTTGTGTATGTATTGCAGAGTCTCTCATTTTAGTCGCTTGTACCATATTTATTTCGAAGTAGCAAAGACTTGTGCATATTATGGATTGTAGTTTTCTTGAACCTCTATAATATTTTTTTTGTGTTATGCTCAAAACATTCTGCATCTCAAAACCCTTTGAGATTATTCTACTCATGTGAATGACATTTTAAAATTCTGCATCATTGTGTAGAATAGCATTTTCTCTTATCTATGATGAGAAGGTAGGTTTTACTTAACATTACCTTGTGTATATAATATTTATTATCTCTGTTTTGATGCTTCTATGTAACATAAGGTTTCTCATTTTATGAAATGAATGCATCTTGTAGTGTCTCTTTATAAATTTACTAGGAATGTAGATGTGATTCCTACAGATGAATGTAGTAGTTTTCTTGAATCTCAAATGTATATGTTTTGCGTTATGTTCACTTAGTACACTTGTATCATCCTCCTTGGTAGGCATGTGGAAGAACTACATGCTATGATATTTTCTCTGCTCTTTAGGTTCACTAATTGTATTCTATGTCCAATATTTTGTTTCGGTTCTTAGAACCGGAGTTTGCTATAATAGTTTGTTAGACTTGAAAGTTCTTTATTACTCTAGTACACATCTTTGTATTCACAGGCGAGTTTCTTTTGTTTGTCATCCGGCAAATTAGTGCAGTCAGTTACTATTATTGAACATTGTTACAAGAGTCGATGTTTTGACACAATTATCAATTTGTATATACCTCTTGCCTGTTTCATTTTTTTTGTTCCACCTGTATCCTTTTCAGTGAGGAATACATATTTATTTTTGTTTGTTTGTTTGTTCACAATGGAAAATTTGTTGGTTTTGTCAATAACCAATCTCTGCAATTTTCTTTTTGCTTTGTGTCACATTATTAAATCTGTGTGGTGATCATAGTTCTTACAGTTTGGTTGGTTGTTGGATTGTCTAGGGATTATTGTTTGGATGATTCCGTTGTAACTTTTGCTTTTGCTTCTTTGTGAGAAATACTTATTCTTGTATGTTTATACCCAAGTAAGGATAAATCATCAATGTCTTAATTATATTGGTTAGTGTGATTGTTTTTCTGGAATTCTACTATGTACATATTGATAAAATAGTTGAATTCACTTTTGTTGTTATTAGAACAATACATTGTGTGCCTAAAATACTTATTACCTCTGCTTTGGTGCATGTATGCACATGCACATAAGATCTCTCTTGCTTTATGAAGTAGATGCATTTTGGAGTCTCATCATGTAGTTTTTTGTATGTAATACTCTTATAAGATTATGGTAGTAGTTTACTTGAATGC